GTTCCCATTTGAGTTCCCATTCCCAAAAACCCAAAGCAGCAACCTGTTTCATTGGGCAACTTTTTTTTTTCGATTTTTTTTCATTTATTTATAGCTTGGGGTGGTGTGTATATGTCCCCAAAAGGACAAATACTTTAGAAGACACAGCCTTTTTTGTGAAGCAAGATCTATGCAAAATGAGCTTTTTTCAAACTTCAAACGCGTTTATCTCGAAACCACGTTTTTCGAACTGGCGGCCATGATATCTCCAGTTCAACTCAACCGATTTTCATGAAACAAAGTGGAATCGACGCAGAATTGTCACCATTCTCGGGTGACGGAACAGATTTTTTTTTTAAATTTTTTTTTCTATTTTTTTTTTACACTAAACTACAAAAAAAAACGCCCGAAATCGAATTTTTTTTTTTTGAATAGCCGCCATTTTGTTTTAAAAATTTAAAAAAAAAATCTGTTCCGTCACCCGAGAATGACATCTATTCTGATTATAACCCCGTTTTTATTTTTCATTTCGGATGCTCTGGAGACCCTGAATCGTGGCCGCCAGGGCGACACCTTTTTTTTCGACCACCAAGTTTGAAGTCTCATTACTCTTTGAACAACCCTCGTATCGAGGCAAGAACAACTTTTTTAGTTACTTTGAACATCTTTGAATACAATAAATAAAAAAAGTTTTCAATTATTCTTTGCGTTTTCAAACAAGAATTTTTTTAAAAAGGGTCCAAAAAACGGGTTTTGAATGAGAAGACCCCCTTAAAATATTTGACATCACCAAAGCGACTCCTGGTGGGGTATAAGAACAACAGAGTTTCAAAGAGTAGCCTCATCAGTTTCATGGCGGCGCCACTGTACACGATAGTGTTGCCAGACTTTTCGGTCCCAGCGACCAGTGTTGCCAGACTTTTCGGTCCCAGCGACCAAAAGTACCAGACTTTTCGGTCCCAGCGACCAGTGTTGCCAGACTTTTCGATCCCAGCGACCAAGGTGGAGTCAGAAGGTCTCCGATAATATCCGCTATGGTTCTGAAACGTACTAAAAAGATTTAGGTACTGGTTCAGAAATATGCTCAGAGGTACATATCAGTTTCAAGAACCAAAAGCTTACCAAAAATCAAGCTTAAAAAATCATAATTAAATTTTAAACATATAAACTGAAATTAAAGTTTAATTTGTTTTTGGTAAAAGTCAGTTATTTTTCCAAATATTTTGTTTCTCCTTTCTTTTTGGTTAAAACTAGCGTAAAACTAGAACAGCCTGTGAAAGACCTTAAAACAGCATCAAACTCCGCCAAATAAACAAAGAAAATGGCAAGAGCCGACGACAAATGTTAAGCAAGAATAATGCGTTACACGGAACTGCACTAAGCACAACATTTTCGGTTTTACGCTGCTCAGCTTTTCCCGTATTTATCCATCTTTTATGCGCCTCCTTGCAGCGCAAATCGAGTGAAAGGACTCTTCTAGGACGACGACGACGAGGAGGAGCAGCCTTTAAACTTCCCTCCCTCCCCTGGTTGTCAGTCAAGAAGGCCAAAAGCCTTTTTGGCCTAGACAAATTACCACCGAGCTCGCCAGTTCTCCAACGGAGTCATCAGTCAGAGCCGGAAAACAGTAAAAATCGTTTTGGGTCCTCGTAGCTCCGGAGCTATGAAAAGGGCGACAAAAAATGGACTCCAGCCCAGCGCATATGCCTCCGTGCTAATTAGGCCTGTCCTGAGGGACATCCGACTGGACCTGGGCCAATTAAATGCTTAAGCTGACTTTTCGGTTCGAGCTTGTCATAAATTTTGACTGATTATGCGTATTCGTCTTTGTCGTCGCCTTCTCCACCTCCTGCTCCAAGGCTCCCATTGCCCCGAGCCAGGATCCTTCGACACAAGTACTTGTGACAACTGAAGAAATTTCTGCGGCATGCAAGCCCCACCTCCCAAGTGTCCGACGCAATTCATCATTCAATTAAATTGACCGCAAAGAGCCGCATTTCTCATCGCTCAGTTCGTCGACATCGCCTTGGGTTAAGTTTTAAAGTTGCCCCAAGTCAAATCCTTTAATGCGCTGCCAGCAGTCGCTGCAATCGATTATCCTTTCAATAAAATGCCGCGGCCCGAAAAAAAAACTTTTCCCCCACCGACTTTCCTCCTCCTCCTCCGCCCCGTATTTTCGGGGATATCTTTTGAGGTTGATTTATGCTCTGGCTTAAAAGCGAATTGTTGTGAGCTGCTAACTGGAAATCTGTTTGACTGCACGTACTTGTTGGTCCTCCACATATATACCCGTCTCTTTCCCCTTCCCCTTCGATGTCCTGGCCTGGCTTAAGCGATTGCCAAACAAAGTCGAAAAGGCGTCGTGCATGTTGAGCGAATCCTTTGCATTTGGGCTGCGTTTTTTTGCCCGGGCTCTTGGTATGCTGGGCCAGGCATCTCAAGGATCTCGTAGCTGTCCTAGTCACAGTCACTATCCTCTGCTCGGCTTTGGCCAAAGTGATTTACGACCCGCTCATGCCGAGCATTCAAAATTCGGTCTAATTGAGACCTCCTCCAGATGATTAGCTCTCGGCAAATATTGTGAAATTCAACTACTCCAAATACAATGCCATCCAAGCACAATATTCTACTAGTTATTTGATTTTTGTTATTGGCTTTGTATAATCTATAGATTCGTTTGGGTATTCGATTGCGCCTTTTGCCTAATTAACACACCGGAGATTTGATATGTGCTTCATGGCAAAAAGTAAAAGACATGAAAAATGATGTAGAAGCTCTAATAAGTGAACCTAACACCGAATTGAGATGTTATCACGATTTTTTCAGCTTGTTTACTTTATAATACACTAACCAAAAAAGTAGGAAAGGAGGTTTATGATATATACATAGGTATTCGATAACTCGTCTCAGTTGTATTTATTTTTTCATATTTAAATGGATTAATTCGGAATGGATAATCGATATGAGATTTTCTTATTCTTTGTAACTAAACTGATGCCCAATGGTTAGGCTAAGAGGTAAAACTCACAACTACGGTGTTAATAGAGGCTTCTAATTATCTGAGACGAGCGCAACTAAAAATAGCTATTACTTTGAAGGTTTATTGTATAATTTATGCTGGCTCTCGCAAATGTATTCTAACTTTGAACTGTTCTTACGCATTTTTATACCCTTGCAGGGTATTATAATTTCAGTCAGAAGTTTGCAACGCAGTGAAGGAGACGTTTCCGACCCTATAAAGTATATATATTCTTGATCAGCATCAACAGGGGAATCTTTCTAGATATGTCCGGAAGAAATCGATTTTTTGGCCATTTTTGCAAAATTTTATAAGGGGTTAAATCTTTAAAATTAGCAAAAATGGCTAAAAATTTTGATTCCTTAAAATTTTAAATTTGGTAAGCAGTTTTTTTAAATTAATAAAAACTAACACAAAACTGCTTTCCGAGTCGAAATTAATGCATTTTTGGCTTAGTTATGATATATTTTAATTGTTACCTGCAAGGGTATACAAACTTTGGCTGGCCAAAGTTAGCTTTCTTTCTTGTTGATTATCAGATTTCACCAAAAGGATCCACCTGCATTTCAGAAATATTTGTATACCCTTACAGGATATTTGAATTTTAGTCAGAAGCATGTAATGCAGTGAAGAAGTCATTTCCGACCCTAGAAATCATATACATTCTTGATCAGCATCAACATCCGAATCGTTTCAGCTATGACTAGAGGAAAAACATTTTTTAGACATTTTTCATAATTTGGTAAGGGGTTAGTTACATCGTTGAAATTGTCAAAAAGTTTAATTATATAATTTGTTTAAAAAAAATACCCATAATGATGCGAGGTACTCCATTCAATTATTATATAATTGGTGGCTAGAATTACATATTCATCAGCTAAATTCTTCTTAACAGAAATATCACCCCTTCTACTAAACACCAACATTTCCCTCTACAATTCTTTTCTGTTTTCTGCGTACTTTTTGAGGTTTTTATTTTTTACTTTGATTTTTTAATTAACGCCCTCCATTCAGTGCGTCATGTGTTGGTGTGCGTGCGTGTGTGTATGTGAAGCGAAGAGACACCATCAAATTGAATACACCCGAGGAGGCGGAGGGCGCTACCTGGAAGGGGGGGCCCGAGTTCCGTGGGGCGGAGCAGAGATCCTTTGAATAGCGCGGTTGCCATGACAAGTTCTCATTTCGGCCGGCATTCCGTTGTCTGGCTAATTCAACATTTGTGCAGCATGCAAAATATTATCAAAATTCCGCCGAGCGCTGGAGGGACACGGCTCGTGCCTTCGCCCACCCGCCCAAAACAGCGGAAACAGAAACTAATAAACGACAACAGGTGAAGTCGGGCCCTGACACGTGGCAGAGAAGCTGAAAAAGAATTTAAAGCACTTTTCGGGGAGTGGACTTTCGGCAATAACTGTGGGCTAAGAGCAGGTTGCCAACGCGACCAGCTGTCGAGTAGTTGGCGGACGATTGCGGGGGAGCCAGGAGAGCCTGCTCCGCCATCGATTGCCTGCCTATCGATAGGCCGCCCAAGGAGCTGCTACCTGCCTGCTATCGAAAAGGGCGCCAAGTGGGCTATCGTTCTGTAACCACTGTACTTTCCGCAGGCCTGCTCTCTGATTCGTCAGCTTCCACGAAGGGCGTGGCCTACAGCACACACACTGTCACTAACCATCCCGCTCTGGCGTGCGCTAGAGCGAGTCAGCCTGCTGGCCACGAAAGCAAGATGGCAGTGGGCTCTGGTAGCTGTCCCTCTTCCACGCCCGCTCTCGCCTTTCTCTTTTCGTGGGATTTTTGCAAATCAATGCAGGAGATAACCCGCAGGCAGATAAGGCGTCGATTGCCGCTGGCACCATAATGCCAAAGGGGGTGCCATCAGGGGGTGGCCAGGGTGGCTGGGGTGGTGTAGGCGATTGCGCAGTCGTCGATGTCGATGTTATCAGGCAGCGGAGTCAATTCGCTTTGATTTTTTCGCACTGCCCTCAAATGCAAGCGAGTCCGCCTTGGCAGCGCTACGTTTCCGGCGTTCTGCTCCGATCCGATCCCGTTTGTCAGTTTCTGAAAGCCGCCGCCATCCAAAAACTGTTACCAACAATGATCTAACAATGAAAGCTATCGAGTCCAGCGGTTGTAAAAAAGTGAAAATGTGCCAGAAATCCAGCGAAATCTATTAACTAAACAATAAAAACCGAGGCGAGACTGAGGCCACGCCCGCAGGAGGTGGACACGGTGTCAGAGACGGCGGCGGACAGTGTCCGGCTGTCAGTTGGTCAAACATTCCATCAATAAACGATTTGACTTCCGTTTCCTTGCGTGCTCTTACCTGTGCATGTTGTCAGTGCATGCCAGTGTGTGTGTGCGTGCGTGTCGTCCGTTTGTGTGTGTGTGTGTGTGTGTGCGGAGGAAACTTTGCAACTTCCGGCCAAGTGACTTCGATTTAATTTCTTTGGCTTTTTTATGGTCAAGGCATTTAATTAATTTTACTATGGCAATTTGATCGTCTGGCCTGAACTCTGACCCCTAACCCTGTGCCACATACAAAATAAGGACAAGGAAGCAGCCCGAGGAGCAGCAGAAGGAGGCGGACGACCCAAAACTGAGGTGAGTTTTCGTTGAAATGAGCAATAAAAGTCAATGTAAATACGCATCGAACGTCTTGCTAAAGTTTCTGCGGTTAAGGAAAGTGAAATGGATTTAGTTTTCAAGTAAATCGTACATTACTTGAATTAGCCAAATAGCTGGACACCTGACGAGGGTCAGGGGTCAGGGTTCAGGCTGAGGGCCAAGGAAAACATTTGGGCAAAGAAATTAATTAGTTTCCTTAGGAATTTCGGTCATCTTAATCTATGGGATTTGAAAATAAAACGAAAGAAGGTAAGGGAAATGGGTGTATTGAATTAAAAGTTTAATAAACTGAAGAAAATTTAAACCTATCAAGAGTTTAAGGGGTATATTAAACTAAAGCGGTTTTTTTGAATAATAATACTATTTGTTTTATTTATCCACTTGAGGTTTAAGTTTGAGGTTGAAAAGTGGAATAATGGAACAAGTAGATGTTACGATCTAAACTGTAGTTCTAAAGGGATGTAGATCAGAAGGGATTCAAAATATGAAGAATGATCTTAACAAAATTCAATTTATGTATGAAAATGTCCTCAAAAAGACAAATCACATTCCCATATCTATACATACTTTCATTAAATTTAAGTTTAATTATTATCTTAATAACTAAATAAAATCAAGGCATTTGAAATCTTAAGTTGCTTTCAAGATATTTCTCAACTTTTTAGGCAAACAATCTGATTATTCTATTTACTTGCAGCCACACCCATTTCAAATCGCTTTGAATCGCCACCGAACAATTGAAATGTAATTCGCACCGAAGGTGAACACCAACGTTCTGTGATAGACGAGTATACGAGCAGCCAATCCCCTTGGGAAGCTGCCCCCACAACGAATCTCGATTCAATCAAATTGAATTCGAAATTCAGAAAGCGACAGCGAGACGCAAGGTGATCTTAACTCCTGGAGCGGCCAACAGAAACGGCGACAAACTGTCGACTCTATCGATACGAAACTTCTCGGCAAACATGCTGAACAATCTTGGGGCCAATGTGCTGGGTAAGTCCGTGTTCAGAGCGTATAATATTGTAATTAAGATCGGCAAGTGAATTGCGCTAATATATAATAATGTGTGTATTAATCCCTCCGATCCGACTGGCCATAATTAAACTAATTTCTTGAGCACACCCCCATGCCCCGTCGAGTGTGCTCTCGCGTAGTTACTTCCGATCTTCCGATCGGAGTCTCCGATGTCTGCTAAATGGCCTATAATTGAGGCGTCTAACCAGATGGCGCCAGGTGTCGCGTGCATTTAGCAATAATTAAGTTGTATATTTAACTAACTCGACAAAGCCTCTCCCATTCCCAGGCCCAACGCGGAGCCCACTCCCGGCATGTGGGTGGGTGTGTGTGTTAATTGATATAATTGCTCTTTTAAATATGCCGCAAATTGTGAATTACATTTGCACATGGCCGGTCGCACGCACATAATTATCAAACTGTACACATATTAATAAATTAATAAATCCGAAAATATGCCTATATATATGTACATACATATGTGTGTGTACGCGCAGGCGAATAAATTATTTCCACCACATTGTTGATCAATGGTTCAAGCACTTTCAATTTCGGCAATCAATTTGTTGTTAGCCCGCCCGACACTACCACCGATTGCAGTTTGCTTGCTGCAACCATGAATTATGGTTCGCGTTTTTATTCAATTTTTATTGCCGATATTCGCCCTTGTGTCCTTCGAAGCATTGCAATTAATTACTTTTATTAATTTATTGCCATTTTTCACACGCCAGTTGTCCCCTTGCGGTCCACGCGGCGTATGCTTAATGTGCACCATAGTTGCAGCGCCTGCAGGTCTAGTGTGAAGGAATATTTTTATTGAGAGCAATCGAGAGCCTGCAATAAATCGAATGCGCAATTGTTGGTTTAAAGTTCATATTCCAGGCAAAATTAGTCTCTGTCAAAAGTTCGCTTTTAAAGTTTCAGCCCAGCTTTAAGTAACGCCTGACTCCTAGTGTGAAAACTATAAATTTCAATGACTCGCAGTGCGGAATCCTTTGCCCAAATCCTGCCTGCAGTGCCGGAGTCTGCCATAATAAATTTCGTAAGCCTTTTTCGGAGTTCCCCGCACAACAACAACAACAGCAACAAGCATGGGGCACCGAAAACATTTGCATATCGGGGAAAGAGTGAAGCGCCCCATACAATTAAGAGCAATTTGCATGCGAAAGAAATGGCAGAACTTTCCGAATCCCGTATCTCTCTCCCGGTACTAATGCTTAATTTGCATGCAACGCGAGGAGCACAATTCGAATGGCATTTTATTCCGCTCTCGGTCTTTTTCGGACGCTTTTCCGTGAGCCTCGCATTAATTAAATTAATTTCACGATTGCATTTGTAATTTGCGTAAGCCCCGCTCTGGCGTCCCAAGTATCCCTGCTTTGTGCATTGGCATTTTTGCGGTGTCCTGTGCTAGTGAAATATGTGCTTAAACCCCCTACAGCCCCCCATAGGCGCTATCCGTTGTGCATTGAAATGTTTTGCGGTTGCTGCGGATTCTGTTCCCTGTTGCGGTTAGTTGTTGGAGCAGCCTAGATACCAGCCAGCCGATCCGGACCCGGGGCCTATGTACTATAGTGTATGTCCTGGTAGGCGGCTGCTAAAAACCGCACAATTTCCAAATTTCAATAATTATGCACATTGCACATGCAACTGACGACTGGCTGTGTCCTGGGGGAACGTCCTCTCCCAGTGCATCCTGGACTCTGGCCAGGTGCATACATTTTCCGGGAGATAGTCGCGTTCGCCTCCAAAAACAGACAAACTGATTTGCGCAAATTGTGCAAATTGCTTGCGCGATAAATTCATGTTTGCCAATTTTAATTAATTAATCGCTTTGTGCGGTTTTCATTTCGTTTCGCTCCGACCGGGCCAGGCCAACTAAAATGGCCCGATGTAAATGTATCTCTGTTCTGTTTGTCGGTTTTCGTGGGGCCCCAGCAATGTTTACAGTTTTGTATTAATGCCAGCGCAGCTCTCGCCGGGTCGCAAATGGCGGGCTAACTAAATTACGATGATAGATTACAAAATTATGCCCTATTAGGTCGGGTTGTAATGATTTGGGAACATGTTTTCGAGTAAATTTTGTGGTTCTGCACAAAGTTTGAGGTTTACATCGTTCTTTGCATTATGGTGGGATAATTATGGTACAGGTGCATCAGGGGTTATTTGATAAATTTGGATACTATGTACAAGAAGGAAGGAGTGACGACCAAAGAATGTTAGCTTTAGTAAGATATTCTTACTGAAATCTAGAGTTTATAATGATTATTGATACCTTTTTCAAGGTAAATTTATATAAGCTTCAGTGGAGTTAGAATGCGCTATCTTTAAAATACTAAGAAACTAATAAGAGTCTACAGTTCCTAAGATAAAAATTATAAATTAACTATAAATTAGTTCCAAGACATAACTAAAGCATATAGATTTTGAGAAATAGATGTTAACATGATGTTAAACAAGTCTTAAATTAATTTCAACAAATAGTTCCTGTACTACAAGATGGAAACTAATATAATATTGAAGCAAAACCATTAAATAAATAATTAAAGCAATAATCGTAATTTATATCAATAGATTACTTCAAGCTTTTAAGCTTAAATCATAGAAGATTTCCCTTTAAATATGACCAAGTCTCTTCAATGTACACAAGCTAAATCTTCAGCTTAAAGCGATATTTGCACTGGGATGGCATCACCTTGATCTGCATACACAATGAACAGTTAGGGCTGCTGCTTTTTAATATTTATGTGTTACAACTGTAAAAGGCGAGGTGAAAAAATCAAAGTTAGACCAACTAACTAACTAGCTACGGACATACGGAGCTGGGGCCCTGGGCCTGGACCATGGCCATTGCCAGCCAAGTGCGATTTCGAGAAGTGGCGCTATTTTATGGCTCCCAAACGTGGCCAAAACACTCTCCGTGCACATACTACACACCAAACACACACAGATGCTGTGGATGTGTGTGGCTTTGATTTGAGAAAACAGAAAACGGAAAACAGAAGGAAGCGGGAACAGTTGGATGTTAAAAGTCGCACTTCTTTGGAGCAACGGACCGGCGGCCAAGACTAGTATCTCCCAGAGTCCATGTTTGAGCTGTGGCCATCGAGCGTGAATTTCTAGCCGGAGAGAGAGATAGAGTGTCGATGGAGATATCGCACCTAACACCGCGCCTTAAATTTACTAATCACGAGCAGAGTTTCGATGTGCTCCCCCCGGTGTTTCGGATCGCATATTGCCAGCCCCGCAGCAACCTCCGATCTGTGCGTGCTGCGTAACGCTCTAAAAATATGTCAGTGATGTGGCAGTTGTGCTACAGATTGCCACAGTTGCAGAGTCTGAGTCTAAACCCCCCCAGAGATCAGCTGGAGCATAGGGGGACAGAGGGGGGCTGGGGCTTTGGTCCCGATTGGGGACGTCACCATCTGAAAATCGCTAATGAACAGTAGCCGCACTGGGTGTATGTGTAAAAATTAGCACTTTCCGGGCAGCGCTTTAAAACGCGACTGGGCAGCAGCGGCAACAACCAGAGAGCCAGTTACAGGGAATGTCGCTTGTAGGAACTCCATATCTTTTATTTGTTGATATTTATATTTATGATTTTATGTGGCGTCGCTGCACTCGTTCACCTGTTCACCAGAGGCCCTGATACCGAATCCCGCTCCGGATCTGCGCCTCTGATCTTTGCCGAAATTTTAACAAGTCCATCTCGAAAACAATAAAAATCATTGAGAGCCGCCAACACCGCCACCGCCCCTGACATCAAAGTCGGCAATCAAGAGTGACTTGTGTCTCTACCTAAGATGAAATTGAAACGGATTGTTTCCGCGAAGGAATTGGAAGCGAGGGTAGGGCTTTCTGCTTAGCTGCGATTTGCATTTCGGACTCGCTTTCAAAGGAAATGGCAGACAGCAGCAATTGCCAGTGTCCACCGCCTACACCTTCACTTTGGGCCTAAATCGAATGGCCATCATGACAGCATCCCGAACCCCGGTCCCCGACCCCCAAAGGTTACGACGGACGGGGACGAGAGTTCGCATCCACTGGCGATGAGTAAATGTTTGACTTGTAGCAACAGTTGAGCAACAACAAAGGGAATCGCGTAGAAAGAGTTGAGCCGGAGTCTCTCTCGCACGTACATGTTAAAAATTCCAGGCGTACGATGAAGATGACTCTCCCGTGAATCCGAGTCGGATTCGGAGTCCCAGACCCATACCCATTCCCATTCCCACTACCAATCCCATCCCACAACTGACGTGATATACACGTACAAATAAAATGGAAATAAAACACAAAATACGTTACGTAGCCAAGTGATGCCGAAAGGTACACACAGGGAAAATGAGTGTAAGAAGAATCTTGAATATAATTAACCTAAATTAAATGGAGGATAATAGGCAACAATTTAAATTAATTAAAAATAAATTTCTTTTAAGCTATATATGTTTACGGGAGCTTCTGAATATAATAATACAAGGAAAACAATATATTTTCTTATGAAATCAAAATGACAAAAATTATTTAATATAATTTTAAAACATTAAAAATCTAACAATTAACACAAAAACTAAACTCAAAATGGTTCAAATGGTATTTCTCTCTCTGTAGGAAATGAAAAGGGTTAGCACTTGGTGCTTGCTCTCACTCTAGCTCTCTCCCACTCTGCACCTCAGTTTGTATCTGTATCTGTAGCTCAGGTTGTATCTGTGTCCGCTGTTTGGTGCGCTCTCTCTCTCTCTCTATCTCTCGCTCTCCCCACGTATATTACTGTTTTTGGCATCTTTTTCCTCCTGAATGACAGGTTGTTGAAAAATTCAATTTATCCGATCGCCGCAGTTCAGTGCGAGCAATCCTCTAGGTCGTTAGCTCACCGGTCCCAGTTCGCGCACCTTAATTAAAGACAAACGCGGGACAAGTGATTGAGAATCATTTTCAACAACAATTTAACAATATTTACCAACATCGTGGGTGTGTGTGTGCCGAGTACTAGTGCCTTTAATTGAATCTGTGAATTTTCGTGGCTACCTCATTAAAGGAAGCCAAAAAGCTCGAGTTCACTTACGTTTATTATCGCTGGGCTTAGCCTCTGCAGGATTCGGGGATCCTCCAGTCCACAAGTGTTTTATGGCAAGTACCGTCAATAAGAAGCCCACGTTTACGAGGAACAACTTACAAATACTCCAAATGATGCTTATGAAACTGAAGACAATGCAGTCTAGGCACCATGCAACAACGTGAATAATCATTGTTTAATGTTAATGTTTACAAGCCGATAAGTTTAAATGCTATATAGGAGCTGAATCCTGTCGAAACGTTTGAAAAATATCTCCAAGCTTACTGAGAAAAAGTCAGAGAAACATCTGTGCGTTTAAGTTTTGATTATAAAGATATACAAGTGAATAATTCAACATTAAACCTTGAAGTTTGCCATTGGAAATGTTAAGAAATCGCTCAAAGTTGGGCTAAAACTGCATTCATTTTAATTCTAAAAGTATTTCTGTGTTGGTTTGTAAAAGGTTAACATATACCTAACATTTACTATTTATATTATGTTAACCAGAAGACACTTAATGGAATCAAAATTCAGCTTTCCAAATAATGTCTAACTTAAAATGTATTTTACAAATACGAACAATCAATTATCTTTTACAAAGTAGTAAAGATATTTATTGTAAATTTAAGATATTAAATATCATAGTTTTAGATAAAATAACTGACACATCCCCCTCTTTTCCATCACCCCAAATAGGTCCCAAGGATTGTGATCTGCCAAAGGCCGCTTTAACGGCGCTGCACGCGGGCGTCAACAGTTTCGGCCAACTGCCCGTGGGTCCAAACTTGGCCGACTTGGGCGGCGGAGCCGGCGGCGGAGGCTCTGGTGCCGGAGTGGGCCCAGTGGGCGGGGGCGTGGCTCGCCTGCACATCTCCGGTGGGCTGTGCGACAACTCCAATGCTCTGAACGCCGGAAACGGAAGCGGAGGCAGCGGCAACGGCAACGGCAACAGCAACAACAACGGCAGCAGCAACAACAACAACAACATGCAGCAACAGGATCAGGTGAGCAGGCCAGCGCTATAAGGAGCAAAAAAGAGAAAGATAGAGAGAAGAAGAGTCAGAAGAAAGAGCAGCAGGGAGAGAGATACTATAGCGCTTAGTTAATACGAAACTTTTTTAATAATCCATGTTCTTTTCGATGTTTATTTTTTCCTTCAAACACTACTCTGCTATGCCAAAAATCCAAACAAAAAATCCAAAAAATACAAACCAATTCGATCCGAAATTCGATCCGAAACGAAAATCTGTTTCCAAAAACGTGAATGTTTGTGTTCTGAATTGTGTAATGAACCTAATTAAATGTGCCATGAATCATATTGTACTCTATGAATCATATCCGTACTCTATAAACAAAAGTAAGTGTACTTTGATATCCATACTTAGAACCGTAGAACTCCTCTATCCTAGCCTAACTGTATCTTCCCATAGAAACTGTAAACTGTAAATCGTAGTCTTTAGTCTATAGTCTGTAATCTGTTTGTAGTCTGTAGTGCCTAGCTTGCATTCCTAGTCCGGTAGTTCTTCTGTGTTCTAAGATCCTTTGCTGTGGTCCCATCTCTCATCGGCCGTTGTGCCGCCTTGGCTGTGTCTCTCTTCCAGCACCTGGACAAAAACAAGCAGAAGCGCCACCGCACCCGCTTCACGCCCGCCCAGCTGAACGAGCTGGAGCGCTGCTTCTCGAAGACCCACTATCCGGACATCTTCATGCGCGAGGAGATTGCCATGCGCATCGGCCTCACCGAGTCCCGTGTTCAGGTGAGTCTATAGAGTAGATAATATAGGTAATTCATTATTTGGGATCGGATTTTAAAGGATTTATCTTAGTTTTTTCATGACAGATTAGATTGATCTGATGTATAAATGTATTACCATATTCTTTCTGTGCGAAATAAGTAGGTAATGAGTTAATTAAAGTTAATTTCAAAGCTTTAGAAAGGGAAAGTTTTATGGATTTTGTATTGGGTGAACTAAATATGTGAGGAATTAATAACTTTAGACTCTACTTTTTAGAAATTTGTCTGAATGAAGAGAACTAAACTTACAGCAGATTGTCTAAATAATTCATTCCAACTATTCGCATTTTATTATTATATATTTATATCAAAACTTCTACAAAATTCTTGATTTACTTCATTAAAGTAGCCATTAGGACTTGGACCACACCATTCCTGTCTCTTCCGTTGAACTCTACGTGGTTTTGTCCTGCGGCTCGACAGTTGTCAGTGGTCGGAGCTGTCGGAATTTCGGGTTTAGTTCGTTTTAGGGCCGACATGACATTTCACTTGTGTTGCACACAACCGCAGCGGACGTTTTGGATTTCGGCTTTTGCCTGCAGAGGCCAGAGACTTTGTGGGGGACTTCCCCGAACTGCAACAGTTTACGAGGCTCGGCTCTGGGCTGGGCTGAAAGCCGCTGCCGCCGCCGAACGCCATTTAAGCGCCCAAAATTATACTTTATTAAAGCACATAAAGTCACATTTAGTCGGGCATCCAGCCACACGCCCTCGGAAGCCCCTCCTTTGCGCCTGCAAAAGTTTGCACGGAGCTCACACTCACACAGGAGCACACAATGGGCATTATCCTTTTGTGGCTGGCACAGCTCCCCCTGTGCCACCGCTGCCATTATCCTTGTCTCTCTTTCGGCACCGGCCCCCTTCCCCGGAGGTCCTTTTTGCATGCGGGCGGGCTTTGTTTATGCGACAATCGAATTTACTGCTTCATTAAATTTGTGTTTAAGCTTCCGCTTCCGCCTGGCATCTCGCTCCTTCGCGCAGCGACTGCGCCTTGTCCTTTGAGTGCGAGAATTGTTTTGCGGTGGAAATGAATGCCAAAAACTTTGGCTTATTGGCCATACGCTCTGCTCTGGCTAAAACAATTAGCCATGAGTGAGCAACTCAGGCGACGACACCTTCATGATGATCCTGCCGACCGACCTCCTGGCCGGGCTCGTGCTTGCCGCCGGATGTGTCCTACTTTGATAAATTGTTTTAATAATTGCGTATCAGTGTTGCCCGTTAATGCTGTTTTTCCAACCACTACCCCCGCCACGCATCCGGTTGTCCAAAAGGACAATGCAATCACCTGCCGGGGGGTAGAAGCTGCAAGCGGGGGATGGCCTGGGATGCGGATTCCGCCTGCTCCTTCTCCGGGGTGTGGAACTCTGTGTTAGAACTGCCGTCGGCTTTTATCCAGCTCGCTTTTTTCCGCCTCCGCCGACAGTTCCTGCTGTTTTAATGCTTGATTTTGCGTTGTCGTTGCGGCTTAGAGGATGTCAGGCCGTTGGATTAGTTTTGGGATTGCTGTTTAATAAAATTAGCATATAAATTAAGTTCGCAGTCGAAGGCGAAATAAAACATTTAGAGCTTCGAAATTTTCACACTTTTCCCGCATGCGGGAAAATCTGCCGTACGTATATGAGGTCGGACCTTCATTCGATATGCACACACACGTCTGGCCCTAAATCAATCTACAAGGATTTGCAGCTAATGACGGCATAAAGACAGCCGACATCCAACATCCGACCCTCGCAGCTACTATAAATGCCCGAAAAACGCTTGTCCATATTAGCCAAGAAAGGCGAGTCTCCACATATGTAGTATATATTCTCCGGGAATATGGGTTCGGCGGGCAGGTGCATAAGTTATGAGGCTCACGTAGTGCCGACTGGCTGAGCGTGTGTGTTGCTGCCAGGAGCAGCATTTATGGTAAATATAATTTAATAAAAATAAAAGTCAGTGCCAAGGAGCATCAGCCAAGCCAGCTCTAATCCTAATCCGATTTTCCGACTTTGGGTAAATTAGAATAGCAGAGACCAGCAGGAGGTACCCCCGAAAATTGTTAATTTGTGTGTTTTCACACCGCCTTGCCCCCGGTGGGCGGCAATTGGACAATTTGCCCAGGACAATCTGTTTGTCACACGTGACATCTCCGCGGGAGAGCGGATCCCTCGGCTGTCCGGGGATGGCCCAAAAGATGGCCCACGAAATTGACTTATCATGTGATTCGGCATTGTCAAAAGCACTGTTTCGGCTTTGTGTTGAATGTTGCAGCATTTATTGGTTTGTTTATTAAATTGTTGCAACGGGGTGGGGGGTCACAGGGCCGGGGGCAGAGGCCAAGGCGAGCGACGGCCCAGCACGTGGCGAGCAAGGCGAGTGGGTGTGTGCCAGTGCACTAAATGAATTTCTCACATGATTAATTTGCCTGGCAACCAGGTCTAGGGTCATTACGGAGAGAGGTACAACCTTGACAACCGTTGAAATGAAATCTTTAAATAAGAATTATTCCAAGCAACCATAGAGAATTGCTTTCTTTGTAAGACAATAGTCTTTTATTGTTAGAATTGTTTCAATAAAACTAAAATATTATTGTCAGAGAGATATTTAAGTAAACTAGAGATGAAATGTAATTAAAAATTCAGCAATTTGTTAAAAAAAACATTTATGGTCTGTAAAATTATTTGCTCCTCAAAAAGTCATTTGAAAAGATTTAATTTTTCTTAAAATTCCCACCGAAAATATGCATTATTGTTTTATAATAATACATTTTCTACTATAATTTGCTTTTTTACTAGGCTTTTGTACCTAAATCCATATTAATCATATCCAAAATATATCAAAAGTTTAAAATCAAGTTACAATTTCTAAGCAATTGATCCATTGTAGTATTTTTAAAATTATTGTGGCGATGGAGTACACTTTAAACATTGCTGTTTCCCGTTTTATTGTTTAATTCTATTTTTAAAATGTAGCTCATGAACCCAAGGCTCCACCACATATTTTCTCTATAAAAAATCACACCTCTTGCTACTTTATCAGGCATAGGGAATATCGATTGACCTAAGCCACAGGCGAGGTCCTTGCGAGGCCATCCAATCCCAGGACCATCCGGCCAAGAAGGACCGCCTTGGCCATCCCACTGTGAGCGCTGATAAATTATTGCCTCGACTTCAGACAGAACTAATTTATTTGCTGAGCCGCTTAATGCCCCTCTAATAATAGTCCACTGACTGCTCCTGCCAAGAGCGGAGGGTTGGGGGAAACTAGGGGGAGCAGGGATATCAACCCAACCGTGTGACTCCCAGCCACAATATCCGAATATTTCGTGAAAATTAGACGAAATATTCTCATAAAAAGTGAGCATCTTTATTAAAAGCGAGCGAGCAGGAGGGGTCAAGGAGCTGGGGACATTGTAACGAGTATTTTCCAGCGAAGCACTCGAAGTCGGGCCAAAGGCGACTGGGTCGCGTCTGATATAACCATGGCATCGCAAATTTTAATTAAACTTTAATTGAAATACCAAAACGAAAATATGCAGCAAACAGGAAAAAAGAAGGAGGGTCCTGTGGCGGGCTAAATTTAGCGAGAGCTTTAAAAAAAAAGAGCCAGACTGACTTGGGAGGGAGTAGGGAGCGAAGCAGGAGGATTCTCCATAAAATGCACATAAAGAGCATCAAGGAAATCTGGCACGCATTCTGTTTATGGCATATGAAGCAATTCCGAAAGCAATTTCGTTGATACTTTTCATTGAAATGTTTGTGTGAAAATGGCGTGCCAAAGTGCCGGACGGACACCGCCGGTTGGCAGGGGATGCCATGGCGCTCTGGGTCTATCCCGGATAAGCTGCTCCAAATGCCGTTGCCATTGATAGAATGACAAGAGTCCCCACGACCCAAAAAGGAGAAAAAAAAGGAAAAATGGAAAAGGTTGAACAACTTGGCAAAGATGGAACAAAGCGAATCCGAGGGGAGCAGCCTGTGGTGCTGCGCATGCTCCACGAATGCAGCGCAACATTCCAAATTTTCGGGGGTTGCATTGGCCAGCCTCCGTGTGCCTCAGCCCCAAATTCGAGCTTCCGAAGAAGAGACTGCAGTTGCCCCGGCAACCCACAAAGGCTAACAAAATGAAAGGCACCAAACCCAGAAATCTAAAAAAAAAAAAAAGAACAGAGATATCCAAAACTATTTCATAAATCAGGAAAATCAGAGCAGAGCCTGCTCCCTGGGCAACCCCCAAAGAGACGATTTGATGATGTCTATCAAAGGCCAGCGCGACACATTTCTCCAAAAGCGACGAAAGAGACGGCTAGACTCAGCTGCGGGTGGTGTGAGAGAGAGACGGCCGTAGTGGACTCGGTCTCGGCGGGTTGGAGCTCCAATCCCTGGGGTTGTGGGCTGGGTTGGTGCCTGGGCCAGCGGCAAGTGTTGCTGGGGCTGACTCGTAAAGCAGGATTTAAAGGATAACATAAAATAAATCGACTGGCATTTGTGTGTGTGTGTGTGAGGGAGTGTTGGGGAAGGGAGCCAAAGTCGAGACGGCATTTTATGAATTTATACGCATTTTTTATATGCTCGGGAATGAAAAGATATTGGCCGAAAAGCGATTTCCATAAACCACTCAGGGCCGGAGTCGGAGTCGCAGTCAGAGGAGGATATGAAAGCCGAGATAGGACCAATAATGATAATAAAAAGATGCTCAAGCTGAAGATGAAGGCAGCTCGAAGGAAAACAAACGCCAAGGACTTTGGCCAGGACGACATCAAAGGCCGGCAGCCAGGGGACAGTTTGGTGTGGACTTTGCTGAGTGGCCATTTTATATTTCGGTTGCCTGGCAGCCTCAGGGGGGTGCGGCGAGGCAGAATATATCCTACAAAAGGGGGGGTTCAAGAAAATGCAATAACCTGGCCAATTGATTTTTGATTATGCCCCAAACAAGAGCACAGAGCAGAGAGTGGGGGAAAGAGGCAATAACCAATCTGCAATCGACAGGGCCAGCAAAAATTGTCAACGCAAACGAGCCGAAAAATATTATTGCACTTTCTGGCTTTTGCCAATCAAGCGTTTATTAAGAGACACCATCCACCTGTCCCACCTGTGCCGAGTTCCGTGTCCTGTGTGCCACCGACTAGTAGCTCTGCAAATAATATTTGCATTGCAGGCTAATCGAATTTTGATTGCAATTCTCCGCGACTCTCTCTCTCTCTGGCCTCTCCGGCCTCTGATTGATAATTTTGAAATTGGCTTTTGAAGTGCGGCTTTCGGGGCAAAGTGCATTTCTATGTTGGCATCGATACTGCTTTTTCTGTCGCTGGCAATTCAAAGGACTGCCGAGTCTCTTCCGTGCTCATATTATCCTTACAGCTGTTTAATCAGCCATTAGGCATAATGTGCAATTAATGTTGCATAACGAACCGGGCGGAGGATATCGTAAACAAGGCGGGCCAGAGGGGGATTTCGGATATATATGACACACCATTATGGCACGGAACTGCAATCATAAGCGGGGTGAGGATGACACAATAAACAGGTTCATAATAAAAAGCCGTTAGCTCGACACCGGCACCCACCCCCAGCGCTCGTCCTGCCATAGATCCTGCCACCCCCGGAAGCTAGCACCATCCACCAGCCAGCCCATAAAATCAAAGCAAATCACTTGTTATCCCATTTTCAGCCGCAGTTCCCCCGGCCGTGTAATTTGGCCGATACTTAATTTCTGACTTCTGCTTCCATTTGCTCGCTGGCTCGCCCCTCGTGAGCATTTCTGGATCTGGTCCTGGTTTCGGGTGCTAATATCTGCGGCCTGCCACAAGAAATTGCTTTTTCATGAACTTGACTCATTTATTATTTGCAACAGTTTTCCGTACCCTTCCCCTTCCCTTTCCCCTGCCCAGCTCCTGGTTGTTGTTGTTTGCCTTTGCCGGTGGTGACTCTTCTTTGTTGCTGCTTTTGTTGGTGTCAGTCGTGAAGTGAAAATTAAAAGTCCAAACATGAAAATGCTTTTGTATGAAACATATGGCTGAAATTTTTTGACTTTTATTTTTTGTCTGCAGATCGAAGGTTTTTTTTGGGAAGGGAACAGGATTTGATAGAGAATGATACTTTATTTAGGTGTGTTGTTTTTTTAGAGTTAGTTAATAAAGTTAGATTTCATTCTTGAATAACTTTTTATTATAATTTCAATTAAGAAAGTTAATTTAAATAAGTGGAATTATTAGTAGAATAAAGAAAGAGCTTCTTTCTGAACAAAAATAGTATAGAAGTAGCCTAATCAATTATAAAACTTGAGCAGGGGTTATAAGCCACAAAATAATGCTGTCATAGTTATAAATTAAATTGATTAAAATATAAAAATACCCGGATCCCATGACTGCTTAGTTTTTATTTTAAATCAAAGTATTTTTTTGAAGTTGTATCCGTTTGACTTAAAATTTGCTAGGCATTGAAAAAGAAATGTAGGAACCTATGAACTACATTTAAATTCTTCAATCTATTTATGTCCCTCCATCTAAGCCTGGACTTCCATTATTTAATTTGAGAATATTTTTTTAAATTTTATTTAAATCACAACAACATATAAAATACATCAAATAACTACATAGTAAATACTTTAAGATATCTGTTGAATTAATGGATTACAATTTTAAATCTTATTATCTCTTAAATTGGTTTTATTTTATTTTTAAAACTAATTTGTCTTGATAAGAAGTACAGACAATATCCTATATACCCTTCGCCTGAGCAACTACCCTTTAAAAACATAAAAAGGACCAAGGAAAAATGCGTATGATTTGACTTTTGGGCTGAAGACAGCCACTCACTTATAATTTATGCATAGGGGTGAAGCTTAAAAAATTACCGTTAGACACACAATTTAACGCGACATAAGGAGCATTTCTCGCCTTCTTTTTTATGTATTCGATTTTGTGTTTTTTATTTTTGGGATTCAGGCTTGAAATTGAGTGCAACGAAAAGAGACAGAAGGAAGCGGAAATAAAAACAAATCAAAGGCAAACAGACCGACACACACACGCACACACAAATTGGGATTGCCTGACACACCCTCAAATATTTTGGATATATACCTCAGCCATACATACCTACACTTTTTAGGCAGACATAAAAAATAAATGTTTTGTTTAACCGACATTTTAACGCCTATTTACGTGCCGTGCACGTCATGCACGTTATGCCAATTTAATGGCTCGCAGCCTTAGACCAAAAAAGCAGGCAATGACTTTTGGCTTTCTCTGCCTCCGTTTCCGTTTCCGCTGCTCATTCTTTCTCCTCTCCTGTGCTTCTTATTTCCGTTCGCATTCTTCGTGTGGGTGTGTCTGTGTGTTGTGTTTGTGAGTAGGAAAATGCTTTCACACGAATGTGGCTAGCAAAATAAAACAGTAAGCTAAATTTAATTTAGCAAACTCAATAAGCCAAAAGGAGATGGCAATAGACAGTGCAAGAGAGACGGACACTGAAACAGAGCAAAAGGGGAAGAAGAGGGAGAGAGTGAAAGAGAAAGAGAGAGAGAGACAGCGAGCCGAGGGCAGACAGTCAGACACTGCCTTAAATTATTAAATTAAAAGTTAATGAATAGGGCGACGCATAAACACGTAAAAAACATAAACAAGTCAAGGTCGCCGACACTCCAGCCCAACCCCTTTGAGGTATATATGTACATATGTACATACTTATATATATATATGTATATGTAGCATAGCATCCTTTTACCCCTAGCTGTCAGGACTCTCCCCTGGATTGTGGCACATTAGCGTCCCTAGAGTAACATCGAGAAGGCTGTGATATTCCAAAACAACCTGAGATAGTTCCAGTTGTGTTCAACTGCGATGAGTGCACTGAGAAAAATCTAATAAATTTAATACATTTAATTTAAGATAGGTCTTTCTAACAATTAACAATTAACAAGCCTTATTTCATAAAGCTCGAATCAATCCTATTTTGATTTTTGATTTAAATCTTTAATTTACACTCAAAAAAATACATCTTTCGATTAGAATTGTTCTCAGTTTAGTTCTGGTTCCGTCAGCAGCCAGTGTCCGACATATGACAAACCCACTGGGGACCATCAGGCCATCAGAAGGCCTTACAAGCAAAGTTACTTTGCTGGAAACTTGCCATTTTTCTTTCCGCCTCCTTTGCTCTCCGGCTCGCACTTTCCGGGCTTGTTGTTTTGGCCGTATTCCTTTGCCATTAGTCTGGCGCGCACTCAGACAGAAACAGTCGACGCCGACAGTCGGTGACAGCTCAAGATTTGCCACGAAATGCTGGGATTTATAAATACTATATGGCCAGGCTGAGGTGTGTCTATGTGTCTGTGTGTGAGAATCACGGTTAAGTTGTCAACCCGCCTGCGAGTGATGTGGATGCGAAGGCCTGATGGCCTGGCGAAATCGTTTTCATGTCACTAGTCATTCACCGCCTGGCACTTTATTCCCCCTTTTTTTTCTGTAGCCCCGCACGAAGGAAACAAAAAAAAAAAAAAGCTAAAAGGAAAGTCGAGAACCGAGAACGGAGAATTTGAATTTGAGAATCCTTTGCAGCCTGCAGTTCCTCCGCCGAAATGTAGGCAACCCTTTTGTCCCGTTCATCTGAGTGTTTGTGACTCAGGTGGGGGAGGTGGAGGAGGGAGGGACAGGAGGTAGTGCTTGTGTGCTGCCTTGTAAATGTCAAAACCTCAACATGTCTGCGTTGTTCTTATGCATATGGAAATGCCAATTTCAAGCGAACACATCCGACACGGTCCTCGACCTCCCTCGCTCTCTTCGGGCCTAAGACAAAAGCGTATCGAAAGTCCGGCCCCGGACTCGGATTCGCTGGCCAAAGATGCCAAATTGCCGGACCTTCGTCCTGGGCAGGGGGAAATCGGTGTTTGCCTTGTTCTCCGCCAATATGTGGAGCCGAGAAATTTACATACGGAATTTATGCGCATGTAAATCTGCTTCTGTGCGTGTGTCGAGACATGTTTTGACTGTCACGGCGGTAATTGATCTCGATTAAGACCGTGTTCGTAGGCGGCGGAAGGAGCCCGAAGGGTTGGAGAAGGTTCTGTGAAGGCGTTTCCTGGAAGGGGAGTGGCAGTGGCCACATGAACACTTGCAAGGCTGTCGAAGGAGGAGTCTCGTATTAAGCTGGGAAATTGTACTGAGAATAGGACATATATGTATCTTGATGACTTTAAATTCAATTTGAAGATAATACTTATACCACTTTAACATTCCTTTGCAGGTCTGGTTCCAGAACCGTCGCGCCAAGTGGAAGAAGCGCAAGAAGACCACGAATGTGTTCCGCACCCCGGGCGCCCTCCTGCCCTCGCACGGCCTGCCGCCGTTTGGGGCCAATATCACCAACATAGCCATGGGCGACGGCCTCTGCGGCACCGGAATGTTTGGCGGGGATCGCTGGAGTGTGGGCGTCAATCCCATGACGGCAGGTGAGTGATCCCTCCCTGTTCGAAGAAGGCCTAAACTAACTTTCGTGCCTTTCCTACTAACTGCTGCTTTTTGGATATACTAACTGGGCTTAAAGGCTTTGGCCAGCTAAATCAGTCCTCGCCGCTCTCGTCCTCGCTGAACAGCGGCCTGAACTCAGGCATTAACATGGGCTCCGCCCTCGGAGCAGGCAGCTATCAGCATTACGGCCTCAACGCTCTGGGTAGGTCGTTCTGGCCGGGGGCCACCTCCCAACACTTCCTCCTCCTCCTCCTCTAAGTCCAAAGTCCCGCCCCGATGATCACATGCCCGAAAATTTTCCATCTGCATGCGACTGCTGACAAAGGCCAAGCGTTGACACTTTTTTTTTTTGCCTGCCATGTTTTTTATCTCATTCTCGTTTTTTGTGTTTTGTTGGGTCGGAGTTATTTGCTTGGCTTTCGAGAGACCATCGAGATCCAGTTCCAGTTTCAGTTCCAGTTTCAGTTCCAGTTCTGCCGACAATTGACCAAACACGACGACGACTCTCATTTCTTTGAACTCATAACACTTTTTTCGGTAGCCCCAAAACACAGCATCGCATCGTATCATTTATTATACCCGGCTGCCTGTTTGCTCGATCAATTAACAGGCAGTCGTTTAATTTTCACGAATACCCAAAGGCATTTTTTCGTCTTCTTTGTTTGGTTTCGTATAGTTGTGCTAATTGACATTTTGGAGACATGTTCATGTCAATTTTATATATATTTTTTTTGGCTCTGTCTGTCTCTGTCTCCGGCTCCAGAGCCCGTCAGCAAAGTTTTTCATTGTTACACTTTTTTCGAGTTGGGGATTTTAAACTTTTGGGGGGCTGCACATATCTACGGGGTGACATAAAATGAAGTTTGTGAAAAAATTGGTATCATCAGTTTCAATAATACTTATAAAAGGAAAAAATAGATATATTCATTCAGCAGTACATAAAAACACATACAAATCAATTAAAAAGAAATATTATTTTTGGGTTCCTAAAAGTTCTTATTTTGTTTATACCCACTTATATAATTTTTACCATTTTATTATATGTAGAACCTTTAGAAAAATACTTAAATGATTACCAGTATTATTTAATTACATATTAACCTATGATTAATTGACTAACTCAACTCTTCTCAATTCTGTCCCATAGGCGACTCCATGATGTACCAGCACAGTGTGGGCGGGGTCAGCTGCGGGCCGAGTGGTTCGCCGAGCGCCACCACCCCGCCGAACATGAACAGCTGCTCTTCGGTGACCCCGCCACCCCTTTCCGCACAGCCGAGCGCCAGCCAGAACGAGTTGAATGGCGAGCCTATGGTGAGTTGTCCTTGAATAAGATAACCCTAAATCAAACCAAAGAACATACGTCAGCCAATTTAAAAATAACTATTTAAAAATTTAATTTATTAGAACCACCTTTTGAATAATCAAAATATAATTTAGAACGAGCTAAACAGCACGTATATTTTTGCATATTCTCTATCCATTTTGGATTCTTTGTTGTAATAAAATAGATAAATAGGAATAGATTAAATTCTTTAAAAATGTTGAAGAAATATAAATATTAAATATTGGAATAAAAGTAAACAAATAACAGCAAACATTGTATAGCTTTTTCTATTAGTTTTCCGTAGTTTCAGCCATTTTGTTTTCCAAGGACTAACAGTATACATGTACATGTCCTTATTTTACAAACATCTTACACTTCCGCTGTTAATTCCAGCCTCATCACCAGCAACAGAGTCACCAACAACAGCAACAGCAGCAGTCACACCAACAACAGCAGCAGCAGCAGCAGGCTCACCAACAGCAACAGCAGCAAACTCACCAACAGCAGCAGGTAAGTCACCACAATGGTTTGTGTACCAGCTTCATGTTAACCCGGCTTCAACCAACCGCAGATGGCGCCACCGACACCCACACAGCAGCAGGAGCTTTGCCACCAGTCCATGCAGTCACCGTCCGATGGCGCCACCGACGAGGATGTGTGGCGAGGACACAGCATCGCGGCGCTACGCCGCCGGGCTTCGGAACTAAACGCCACGGCGATCCCCTCCTACCTACACCACCATGCCGCCGCCCACAACAACTACGAGCAGCAGCAAATATACTGAAATTTGTTGAAGAGCTTCGAAAGCTTTTCGGATTACGGGTACGCCAACTGCGGCGGCACCCACGACCTGGGCTAGGTGCGCAAAGTCCGTGTAGAGTCGGGCGGAAGGAGGAGGGACTCTTCCGGCGGATGGAAGGAAGCGTTATAAGATAACCAAAACTAGGCTAAATTACTGTACAATTTATGTGTTTGCATTATTTGTTTAATGATTTCCAAGATCAAGGAGTGTGTATCTTCAACTTAAAAGACTATAATGAATGTAAACATGTATACGAAAATCGAAGCTTGATGCCGAGGACTTGGATAACCGCAAGTAACTAGGATCGTAAGCCAACCCAGTACCACCCCCGAGTGGTCGCCCCCTCCCGCATGAATATGTAGACCTTAGCCGTAACATTTGCCGTATACGAAAACTGTAAAAACAAGACCGCCCGCGAGATAATAGGAGAGTATCTTCGTGTCCCCGGGCGGCACAATAATTTTTGGCAAGGGACTTTCCCGGAGCTCGTACGTATGTAAGCGTATTTATGCCTAGGCGTGTATGTAAGTAGATCTATTCTCATGTAAGTGTTGTTGTTTTTGTGTATAGGCAGTATACCTCCGTTCCGTTGCTATATATCCCCCCGATTCTAACATAACCCATAGAGTATCAAGCGAAAGTCCCGACATAGCAAAATGCAGCGAAGGCAGCTCAATTCTCAACCCGAAACCGTTTCAGAGTGCACGCATCCCATGGATTAGTTTTACAATTACCAATTACAAATTATACCAATACGAATACAACTATATATACATGCATACGATTATGGCATACTTGTAATAGACTTTCTTGTATCGTTTAAGCCTAAATTTAAATCCAACTAAACAAAAAATGGAAAACAATTACTATGTATGTAATTATGCGTATTATTAAATAGTAAACTAAATTAAAAATTAAACGAGATTTGCATAACAATGGCATCGAGGTTGAATAAAAACAAGTTCATAAAGTGGCTGGCTGCGTGCTCCGATTAAGTGGCTAATTGATTTCAGTTGGCTTTTTGAAACAAAAAACTTGAAATTAATTCCACTCATCGGTGGCTATTTTGTAATATCTAAGAGGTCTAATCAATTTATTTCTGATATTATATTACACATCCCTTCAGAGAGTTTACTTTAACCAAGAGTTCATAAGGGGGTAAAGTAATAGAATGAGAAAGGAAGATCATAATAAGTTTACGTTTTTATTTAAAAACTTGTAACTTAAACAATTTAAAGTTTAAAGATGATAATTGACTCGACTTCTTAGTCGAGTCCATCCGCTCAAAATACCCTAACCATTACCAAATCTTTCCCATCCTAAGACTCTCCATTGACTTCAAAATAATTCCAGATAAAATATTATTAAAAAATAATTTAATTTGTAATTTATATCAATATTGCTATTTTCTACTCAAAGGTATTTATAAAACCATTCAGTTACCAGAATATCATTTATGACAACAATTGATGGCCATGCAGGCTGCATATATATTTTTTTTCACAAGTCAAGAATTTCCCTGGAGCCGGACACTCCTTCGCCTTTGCTCCATGTTTCGTTGCAGATGCAATTACAATAATTGAATGGGATTGGAGCGCCAGGCAGATGCTCAAATGCCAAACAAGTTTAAGCTGAAAATTGGCAAAATTGATAAAACTTTGACAGTGCACACACACTCGCACTCTGATAACAGTCCGGTTTGTGTGGCGCACGAGTGAGAGTGCGAGTGTGAGAGTGCCAGGACCTCAGGGCAGAACGATTTCCATTGGCCGTGACACCAGTTTGTGGCCCAGTACGTTTGATTGGGGTCAGCAAGGAGCAGGAACCAGAGCAGGAGCCAGAGCAGGAGCCAGAGCAGGACGAAACTCGAACCGACTGCATGCATGGGCTTATAAATTTTATAATGCCCGGCTGACATTTGACATGCACATTGTCACGACAATTGGCCCGTGGAGCCCCTGCAGCTGAACCCGTAACCAGAGCCCGGAACGGTAGCCAAAACCCAGAACCCAGGGGCTGCAGCCGGGGAGCCAACTTAATCACACTGATGGCACTTTTATGCGATATGTATGTATATTCGATGCGAGGGAACATAAACAATTAAATAATACAAGCAATACACAGAGAACAAATGGGGGATTACTATATGTTTTATATTTATTTCATGCCAAAACATGGCATACTCTTGGCCTTAAGATAGATTCGTGAATAAATAAGAAAATGTAAAGAACTAAAAGTAAAACTATAAAATATTTAGATTAATGTAAAAGAAACTAAGAGTAAAATAGTTATTTAGACATCATACCATTCATTTTTAAATTTAGTTCTTTAACTTTAAAAGACACAATTTCCAAGTGAATGACCCTTTTTCTGCCACTTTTTTCGGTGTGCTGTCTGCTGGCGAGGCAGCAATTTTATATTCTGATGTGAAAGGTGGAGAGAAAGTCGGGGGCCCGGAGTATAACGTGCTCGAACTCCAAAATTGATAACTTGCCATCACCATCGACGTCGGCCTCCTCGATTACCTTGTCGGCAATCTGCTGGTGCTCCTCCGGACTCAGTTCGTTCTTGGTCATTGTCGTCAGGCAGGACATGAGGTCAGCGTGCCCTATGAAGCCATCCTGATCGAAATCTGCAAAGTTATGCCAGACATAAGTACACACAAGTGGCAAGGGGCGTGGTGGATTCGAGCTGCCTTACAGAACTTGACATTTTCTTGCACACAAAAGTCAAGTGATGTGTGCCAAACTGAGTTTGCCTAGCTGCCTGCCACGTTTGTATCCTCGTACTTCTCAGTGTGTGTGTGTGTGTGTGTGTGTGTGTGTGTGTGGCAGAGGTAATCGCCTGCTGCACGTTTCAATTTGTGTCAATCTAATAATGCACATTGAAATAAAGTGTAGGCGCCGTTCTGCTCTTGTCCCCCTCGCTGTCGAAACTAGTTTAGTTTAGCAAAAATTTTCGGATGCACTCGAGCTGAGAGATACTTTTGCAATCCATCGATGGCAGGCCCACCCCACTCTCTGTGGGATTTGTGGCCCATTAATTTTCGAGTGCCAAGTGCACAATCAATTTGCACGAAAACTTTCGCCCATTTATGGTGACATTTTCGGGATTCTAATTTAAATTTCAATTAAAATGCTTATTAGAATTTATGGCTGTCCTTGAACTTTGGCCCTGCAGTTGCCGTGGCCCAAACAACAACAGTGGTGGCCTGGCACGGCGCCACAAATTGGCGAGTCGCGGGTCACGAGTTGTGGAGCTGCGTATGTCCATGTTTCCCTCTGGCTTCCAGCATCTTCCTCTTCCTCTTCCTCGTGTAAAGGCCAGAGACACAAAAGGGACCAGCAGGACAGACACTCACACGCAGCCGGCGCACAGGCAAACTACACCAAAGACAATAAACAGGGGCTGCGGAAATGCATAAACAAAAGCTCAAAATGCTGGCTGCTGGCCAACAGCTGAAACTGCATTTGAAGATGGAGTTTGGAGAGACAAGCCTGGACCACAAACAGTGATGCCAGGCAGTTAGGTAGTAGGTTGTACAATGGGTATATCTATAGAGGATTTTAATCATGCAATTTAGGTTGTATCTAGTTAGGTAGAGGTACTTCTTTTGACCATTGGAAACCCTTACACCTAGGTTTATCTAGCTATCTAGCCTTCGCAATAAACATACAATTTCAGGCTTCCTCTCTTATTTATTTCTAAAAATTGACAGACAAAAATGTGTCTATATCTTTAATTTCTACTAATTTCCTATCAGATTTTAAGTGCTTTCCAGTTCTCTCAAGTACTCAAGGACTTCCTGACATGTAATAATAATCATATAAAGTTATTCCTTTTCATATTATTATAAACATATAATCATTACCCATCACTGAGGACAACAACCACAAGGCAACACGAAAAAGGTATAGAGAAAACTTACCATAAATCTTGAAAGCGTAGAAAACTTTAATGTCCCTCGGCGCCTGCTCGCTGAAGACGGAGAGGGCGTCTAGAAAGTCCTCAAAGGATAAATTGCCCTGGCCATCGCGTGAGAAGGCCTCGCCTGTGAAATGGATGAAAATTGCTATAGTGTTTTGCTTTGCTTATGCAGGCTTTCGGTCCTTTGTTACGCACAGATACGTCGACGAAAGGGATTCTCACGCAACTCGGGCATCTTCTCGATGCACTCGCAGGGAACCTTGACACTCGAGGCCTGACCCTCGGTCATTTGGCGAGGCACCAAATCCGGTCTGAGCTCACGAAAACGTTTATGAACGCTGTAACGTATAGGAAAAACAAGATGATGGGTTAGTTTCGGCAACCAAAGTGGGAAATACTCTTGCACAGACTCAGGGGATTCCGAATTTTTAGTTAATTTAAAAAAATCTTTTGATATATAAACATCTTTAAGAATAAGACATGTTATTTTAGAGTTTTTCCAATAGTTTTCTTTGAATTTTCAAAATAATTTAGACACTTTGACTGACTTCTTACGAAAAAGATACCCTCTGACATATATATCCTTCAAATAGAACAGCTATCATGTCTGAATCGATTTGGAAATCTGGAGACTGTAGAAATTGTGAACCCCTCTAATAGGGTATGGATAACGCGATGGCGGATGAGAGGCCGATAGAGGCGATGAAAGCCTTTGTGTCCCGAGCGCCTGTCTGTGGCCTGTCGTGTGGGTATTTTCTTCTGTTTCCTGCTCTTTGTTGCCGCCGATTGGCAAACAAAAGGATGCTGGGAACAATGGCGGGCCGGGCTTTGTCTGCCGCCATATGAAATGGAATAGTTTTGGCTTATTAAGGGAATACAAATGGCCTACCGCAGGATCTCCTTGCGCGTGAAGAACGTGCAATCCTTTCCGATTTGTGGGGCGGCAGCGATGCAATGCATGAAACCAAATTAGCTGTGGGATCCTTTTCATCGACTGATTGATAGCTCACCTGGTAGTCGTCCAACTGCTGTTCGGTGAACGTCACAACTTTGTTCCCCATCGTTCCTGGCCAGCCTGAAAGTCCGCTTCTATTTAGTTTTTTTTTTTTTAGTTTTTCGCGTAAATGTAGCTGCTGGCCAAACTGGTTAGTCCCGAGCATGAATGGCGACTGACACTGTGGCGCGGGCGGGCCAACTTCCCCGGCTATAACTTTGCATAGCTCCGTGGTTCCACGGCTACGAACACATCCTGCGGCGCCCGGACAGCGTATGGCGCCCGCATTCGCATGGAAATTAATTAAGGAGTGTTCTGGCGTTCCATTTCCCATTCCCACTACCACAACCACTTCCACTGCCATGCCTCCATAACTATGCCCTAGCTCGCAGCTCCTCCAGCCGCAGCCAGGACAGCGCCGTGTATCCTGTCGTTTGTTTGCCGCGGCTGCCTTTTACGCTATCAAGCTGTGGGAAAAACCGTTTTTAGAGGTGCGGCCCAGAAAAGTAAAAACGCAAAAAAAAATATGGAAAAACTAAGCCAAACTGTGTCGATCTAAAAAATAATGGGTACCATCCGATGATTGAATATGTATGGGATAGGATGCAATCATAAGAAGGGCCATTTTTAATAATAGTTTACTTATAAAGTTGCTAAGACTTATGCTCAATTAATTTCCAAAATAATAACAACGTAATCACATACAGATTTTACAGGTAAACTTGCTTAATTTCAAGCATTTCCCCCATTTCAGTACAAGAGAAATCCTTAGAAAAATTCTAAAAAAACAAGGATTTCCTCAAATTACGTCCAATTAACATGAGAAACTATATATTATCCTTCATCAAAGAATGATGTACTCTTCGTATACACCTATAAAATATTACATTTCTTCATCTAAGTTTGATTGGCAATGTCCAATTAATTTCCAAAATAATAACGTTAACAAATACAGATTTTACAGCTGGCTAAAGCACTGCTTCCATTTCCAACAGCAATCCTTTGACAATGTCTGCTCAAACCAGGATTTCCTTAAATTACGTCCAATTAAGATGAAGTTTAGGCAAGAACATCGCTGGGTATTATAGTAAAGCTGCCTGTTAAGCAGACGATATCCGAAACCCTTTGTCCGCTCAGCTAGAAGCCCTCAGCCCAGTACAACATACCCTGGGTGCTGCGATGAACGGGTATGAAAAGAACTCGAAAATCCAACTAAATATGTTGGGGAAAAACTGTAGCACAGTTTTGTGAGCCCGACAGTCGATGCGTGCGGCTTTTAGTTGGGCGTAAAGTTTATTAATTAATTTAATGCTCGACGGCACTTTTCAATTTCACGTGTCTGCTTTATGAATTTATGAAAGTGACTGTCGGGCTTGGGGTCCAAATCGAGCACACTGAGCTTGGTTAGAAAGTGATGACCCAGCAGGGAGATGCACCAAGGCTGCAGAGCGTCCGTGCTGCGAAAGGATTTGGAATTCGATTAGTGGCAGCAGCAGCGGCGGCATTGTGTGGATAAAACTTACCTCTGGCCATCGGGGCAATCGGCTTGGCTTTCGATTTCGATTTCCTGAAACGTCAACATTATCGAGCAGTCAAGGGCCGTGGCTCCCAGCATGTAAGCCTGCTCCAGATCCGGTTTGAGCTGCTCCTTCTCCTTTGCCTCTTCGGCGGAGGCCAGCAGGTCCCGTAGCGTGTTGTAGGTGGGCAGGGAGTGGGTGGAGCGAGCATAGCCGGATTGCCACATGAAGGCGAATTGGTCCTGCAATGGCCAAGAAATGTTACTCGCTTTCTCTCTCTCTGGACAAAGCCACTTTACAGCCACTTGCCGCCCATTGGCCATTTAGCCATCTCTTCGAGTAAACTTTCAACTTTCAACTACTCACCTGAGCATTTTTGGGAAAAAACTCAGCGTAAAGGTAAGCTTAGAAGCGACGAATTGAATACACTTTATAACTATTTCAGGTATAGAAAACTGCCGTTGTTTTTATATTTGTTTAACAAAGAAAAAACTATAAATATCTAAAACATCCTTATTTACTTCTTCAAAAAGTACTAAAAACACATACAATACCCTCTTTGCTAGAGTATAAAAAGCCAACGAAAAGCTATCTTCAATTGCCTGGCGTCTCTGGGCCGGGAAATCCAAACAATAGACAGACGGACATAGGAGTGGGCAAAACTAAGATTGGTTGGTTGGCTTACCTTTACCAGCAATTGCAAATTCAAAATTTTTTGCAGCACACAATTTTTTGGTAAGCTAAATATTTCCGCTTTGTTGATTTGTGCTCGAGTTTGATTCGCAGCCTCATTCTCATTCTCATACCGACTCGTACTTGGAGTTGGCTGTGTTTCCGTTTCCGTTTTTGTTTCCGTTCGAGTGGCCACTGCCAACACATTGCCGGCCAGTTGGCTTCTCGATGTTACTCCAGCGACCGTGGCCGTTGTTGTAGTTGCCTCCATTCTGGCCAGCTTTGTGTACCTTTGGGTCGTTGCTGCTGCTGCTCTTGCGGCAGCTGGTCGTGTACGGGTCGTGGATTGACCAGCGGCAGTGACAACAGTCCTGGCTTCGGACGGCAGGACAACATTAGCGACGCCAATTTCAGCAGCTCCGACTTTTGTCTCTGTCGCCGCAATTGAAACGCGAATCTGATTCAGCTGCAGCTGCTCTTGGTCGTGGCTCTGGATCTGATTGGGGCTCTCTGTATGGTTGGATTCCTCTTGCTACAGAGAGGAAAAAAAGAATATGTTTTTATATAAATAATCTCTTTAAAAAAAAAAGATAAGTAGCGAAGTTTACTTTAGAGTTTTCGAACTAAAAACAGACTGAAAACTCAAAAATTCACCAACAATCACCAAGAGAATAGCTACTATACACCACTATTTGGTGGTATTTTATTACAGTGTACCTTACCTTATATTCCCTTAGCAGGCAGGCCACCAGCAAATGTTTTATAAGCACCATAATTTCACTGGAGAATTTCAGAGATTTTATGGCGATGGCGATGGCGATGGTGGTGGTGGTAACGGTGGCGGTGGCATTGGTGAAATTTTGTTTGTTAGCATTTTCAATGCGCATTCCCATTTCGTGTGGACGTCGTCGGCGTTGTCAACGTTGTGCCAAAAGGTGTTGAGGCGACATGGCCAGGGAAAAACATAGCCGGCGGGGTTGGGATAGTGGAAAGCATAAGAAAAAGTTGAAAACCAGGTAAAACGAGGTAGGAGAGATGGAATGCAGCCGGGAAAATGGCAATGTTAGCATTTGGCACTCGAGAATTTGTGTTTGGCTGTTGCTTCTTGCATTATTTATTGAATATTTGCGTGTTGCCCGGAATTGTTTGGGAGTTTCCCGGTTACTTTTTCACTAGCCAAGGAAATTTATGAAGGACAAAAAGTAATTATAACAAAGGCTAAGATAGTTCAAAATATGTTTCATTTACATTTTCCCGGTTGTATACTTTTGCGCTCATGATCAAATTCTCTTTTTAAATATAATATTTATTTAAAAGCCTTTCTGACTTACCCGGGAAAGACACGCGAGTTCAATTCGTCGAAGGAAATCGAATTCGCGTGATCGCCATAAATTAAATTGCCGTTCTGAAATACACGTAAATTATTTTGCGGGCAGGCGAAAAGTGCATTCAAGGCATCGAGCATACGACTGGGTGCACTAAAAGCAGAGAAAAACCAATGAAAATATAGTGCCTCTCATACAGTGAGGTAGATAATGGTGATGCTAGGCGATTAAATTGAATATAAAATGTATTTTAAAATGTTTACTAACTTTATTGATGTCTGAAAACAATGGTTTTCTCTGCTTACACAAATAGTGTAATATCTTAACCAAATTTGTATTAATTTTATATTCTTAAATCATATAGATATATAGAAAAAACTCTTTACTTTAAATAAATCTTTCATTTAAGTTGGAATAAAATCAATTACTAGGTAATAAATTGTGTAATTTATAAATTTTAATATGAAATCATCTATCAAAAAAGTCTGTCGAATGACTCTTGACTCGCAGTTTTTTCAAAAGAGATCGAATAACTTTGTCACGTAGTGTACTTATGAATAATACTATTAAAACTGATGTATATATGGGATACATATGGGTTATATGGAAGATGCTGGCGCCCAAAACAAAGGCAAAAGAAATGGCAACAATATTCGAGGGGCCGTAGGAAGGAGCACGGGCCAAAAAAAAATATGGAAGAGCGGGAAAGCAGGAAGCAGGAGAGGCGTAGCAGGCGGTAAACCGGAATGAAAGCGCAAGCAAATTGAATTTTGTGCACGGATGCACGCATGACTTGAAACAGCGGGCCGCAAATAAACGAATGAGTGTAGTAGCGGGGCTGGAATTGGGATTGCAATTGAAGTGGACCAAGACCCGGAGTCCTGGCGACCCGAACCCCGGGTACGGACTGTTCAGGGTCCTGTCTGTAGAGGCGGACAACAAAAAAAAAAGCACTGCACTAAGGCAGAAGGAGTGGCAAACAGTAACCGAAAGTGTTGGAATTATGAAGCACGACAGGACACGCAAATGGAGCAGATTGAAATTTATGACTCGGTGTTCGTGCCAAAGGAGCGGCCTCCGCCTGTGCTCCTTCCTGCGTGCTCATTGTTCAGCGCAGCAGGTTCGATGACATACCCTGAGAACAGCTCCAGCGGACAGTAGTGGCCCAAACGTTTGATTTTCCCATTGTGCAGCTGTCGAAGGTAGTGAATGAAGAACTAAAACGACCTTCGTTATCGCCGCTCTCCTCCTCCACTCACCTTTAGCAGCTGCATGCTGCAATAGCGACACCAGCACTTGTCCGGATCCCAAGGCTTCTCCTCTGGATGTTGCTTCTCTCTACGGTCTCTGTTTGGCTTTGTCTCTGCTCCTGTTGGCATTAAATCAAATAAATCGTTGACATCACTTGCCAACTGGAGCCAGCCTTGTTTGGGTTTTATTTCGATGGCATATGTATCGCCCAGACGACGGACACCACCGCCTCTCCTGTCTCCCGACTCCTTGCTTCTGGCCGCTGCTCCGGTTCCATCTCCTGTTGTGTCCTGTGCCTGCAAAATTATATCGTTTCGCTTATTTGCTCTCGTCGCTCCTTCACACTGTGTCCCGAACCCGGTCCCGATCCCCGGGAGTAAATGGAGTAAAAGAAAGGTGCCGGCATGTCCTGCCATGAAATATTATGCCTCCCGTGTACCGCGAACTTTTGGCCCCGGCGTTGATGCCATTTTGACTTGAAAATGCAGCGACGAGCGCAGCAGGAAAAAAAAAAGCCACCATGAATAAAGCTTCCATGGGTTCGAATGGGTCGGGATTGGGGTTCGCTGGGGTTATCGCTGCTCCTGTTGCTGCTGTTACCCGCCGCTGTGACATAAAACAAAAGTTGTTGCGCTGATTGTATGATGAGTTATGGAGCCAACGGTCGGCACGGCATGGGCTGGTTCGCTCGCTTTTCAACTTGAAATTGAAAATTAACATTTAAAGCCGCAATTAAAAGGTTTTTTCTTACAGCAGCCAGCTCACCTTTTTCTCCTATATTTCGCAGGCCGCCACACAATATGGCGTTAGTTATGGCCACGTTACGTATACGTACGCCTCTCAATGGCTCTCCCGCTCCGCTGGCTGTTTGTTTCCTTTGCTGGCAATTTTATTTCGGTCAATGCTTTGGCACCAAAGCCATAAATTCAATATGTACCCACCGAGCACGGCGAACAAATAGCCAAAAAATGGCAACAAACAAAAAAAAGAAAAACGGCGGACCGGGAATGATCGAACCGGAGAGTACCCTGAACACCGAGGGGTGGTAAAGGCCTTCTTCGGGGGGATCCCCTCATGTGTGTCAGCTAAGCTACCCAACGGCTATGTCCGATTTCGGGTACATAGGGCATATAATAAAAGTTGCAGCTATGGCGGGCACTTTCAAAGCAATTTCAGCATCTTTTATAACCGCACAAGCCCAAACCAAACGGAACGAATCGAAACGGGCAGCGGCATATCGGCGGGCAGAGTGGACGGAGTAGCTGGCGAGTAGCACCAACAAAGTGTTTACACTGTTGCCCACTTTAATTCAAAACAAAGAACCGTTGATTTATGGGACTTGGCCAGGGTTTAGCTTCGAATTTGGATGGTGGGGTTTGCCTCGGCACAAAGCAAACTAAACCGCAGCAGGAGCAGGGAGCTAGAGCACGGCGGCGGCTAACGTGTCCAGCACATATGGCCAAAAATGCCAATATTGTCCTTGTACAAAATACACAATTTATTTGGACAGCGGCGGGCGGAACAGCAGCATCAGCATCCCAGTTCCAAAAGCGGCAGCAGGAGCAGGAGTAGCAACAGCAGATGACGGCGACGACCAACTCACCTGTAAATTGGCAAGTAAAACATCGAACGTGGCAGGCAATTGGGTCACATCTGGCAGCAGCAGGCCGAATGGCCCCACAAATTCCTTATCCAGACGCGAAACTGCAACGGGTGAAAAACAGACGAAATGAAGAGCGGGAAAGTCAGGTGTGGGAATGGTAGCTAAAGGAAAAAGGGAAACCCGAATGAATGTAAAGTGCAAGCGCCAGCATCCGGCGATTATTGATATATAGATGCCGCTGGGTTAGACTACACCGGTGAATGATAAATCGCTGGCCAGAGCGCGCGCTATGGATGCACCGGGCAGCCGCCTGTTGCTCGCTGCCGGGCATAAACCCGATTTTGATATATGGCCACGACTATGGCGTCCGCCACTAATCAGTCCCATGTGTACGGGCTGGATGAAGCCGGGAGCTGGGAACTGGAAACTAGAGCAAAGGAGCCCCGAACCTGGTAGCCTCCGCATCGTAAACGTCAGTGAAAGGGACTGGCCTGGGACGAAGCACTAAAACGCTCGTTTATGATTGATTGCAGTGGCTCTGAAAGGCTTTGGACAGCGGCCAGGAGCAGAGCCAGGATAGGAAAAGGAGCGGAGGTTGTGGATGTGGCAGTTTCAGCAGTAAAGCCAAAGGCCAATGGAAGGAGGCACTGCAGCGAAAGCTGATCAAATACTAAATTGTAGCCACAAACGGTACAGTAAAGTTGTGCTTGAATTTAGGTCGTACTGTGTATATATCTTTAAGATTATAAAAGTGAAAAAGTTAAAGAAGCTTAACTAAAAACCAAACTATTATAGGTGTTAATATGCAGTAACAATTTACGTTATTTTCTCTCTAGAGATTCCTTGCAAACTGAATGATTTAAAGAAGATTAAACACTTAATCCAAATTCTTATTGTTTCCTTTTGGTTAGTTAGTTTTGCCCGCAGTGCACTTACCCGGTCTGTGGGCGCGTATGTGCTCGTTTATCCAGAATCTATCGTCTTCCTTTGGTATGGCAACAATATCCGCTCCGCAGACAAACTCATTTCCTAATAGACGGCGCATTATCCCGATATAAGCCATAAAATCCGGCATTGTCAAGTCGCCAGCTGGAGATGGAGGCGATGGACCGGCATTGGCCACGGAGGAAGCATGAAAGAAATGTGGATAAATGAAATAAACACATTTGATGCAATAGCCAAAAAGATGCACAAAGATAGAGAGATTTCCCGAAGGGAGATGGCAGAGACCAAGGCAGAGAGGGCAAAGGGCAAACGGCGAGGCGGATAGGAAGTGGGTGGGTCGAAATCCAGCCAAGCGGGCAATAACCAAAGCACAATACTCAAATTGGCTGGGAGCTGGGCGTTGGGAGCAGCAGCTTGTCTGGGTGTTTGAAGTTGCACGCAACCATTTCCTGTCCAACAAAAAAGGGAAAATGTCGGCTGCCGTACATACAGCTAACAATAACAGGCGGATGGCCTTTCACGGAGAGAAAAATAGGTAGAAAGTTCATTTAAAAATTTGAAAATAAATCAAACGGGTACAAAAATAACTATTTGTGTAAAATGTACGACCAAACTTTACAAATTTATAACTCAAACTAGGTCATAGAGTTTTTAGTAATAATAATATTCAATATTTTTTGAAAGTTTTTAGTTTTATCCCCTAAAAAACAGTTATATTACATTACAAAAGACAACTTTACGTATTTTTTCTCAATGTACAAACCTTTTTCAGGCCCGGCTCCAACGGATGATTCGCTTTGCCCTTCCGGCCGAGCAACCTCTGCCCGCTCATTCCGCAGTCTGCTGGATATCATTTTTGGCAAACGTAAAACTTTTTTAAATTGCGGCAAGGCGAGCACCAAATTTGCATTACCCTCCGCCCGATAGATCAACTCAATTTGGCGCAGTTCCATCGCCGCGGGCAGATCCAGCAGGGCGTGCAGATTCTTGGCCGCCTGATGCGGCTGTGGCAGTGGCTGGAACTGGAACTCCAGCTCCGGCTGCGGCTCTGGGTCTTGCCCGGGGCCTGGGGGTTGTTCTCCTACAGCTGTCATGGCTTATGCGCGGGTGTTTTTGGTTCGCTGCCGTTGGTGGGGGCTCTCCGCTGTCGCTGTCGAAATGCAACTGGCGCCCTCGAAAGGCGTCCTGGTATCCTGGCCCTCTGATGACCCCTCCTTGGTCTGCGGCGCGCCAGTGTTGATGATTGCCGATTGTGGCTTGTTGCGGTTGAGTTTGCGGCTTCACTATTGTTATTGTTTCTGCTGCCGCTGTGGCTGCGACTGCGACGGCTGTTTGTCCTGTCGTGGGCACATTTATGTACATTTATTGACCGGCGATAAGATGCTGCAGCCAGGAAGTCGTCGTCGCCGGCCTCCGGGTCGGGTCACTCGGAGCTGAAAGAGGTGGCATAAGAATTGAGTTTGAGCTTAAATGGTTTCTTGAGCAACACAAGTTATGGGAATGCTTAAAGTTGTTTAAGCTTAAACTTTACATATTTATATAAATATTTTCTTAGTTTCTTAATTTCTATAGAATGTTTATTTGTGAGAGTGTGGTCTTTATGCAATTAAAAGTGAGAGAAAGCTTGAGTTAATCAAATAAACCTAATTTGTTATTGAAAAAGTCAAATAGCTTGAGGAGAAATGGAATCTTTAACATGAATATTCTAAATTGTTTTACATCTTTTTTAAATTTAATTTATTTGCAAACAAATAGCTCAAAAAATAAATAGAATAAATTAAATGCTTTGCAAAAGAAAACTGAGTGATTAGAAATAAAGCAAATATCAAACAGAACAAACGTTTATACCCCAAGGGTAATAAAATATATATGTAACTGTGTTATTTATTTATTGACAAAAGATAAATCGTTTAAATAAATGTTTTGACCTGTACCCCATTAACTAAATAATTAAAGTAGTAAAAAAATAATATATTTTAAATTCATTGTGACTAGTGCTTCAATTATAGGTGTAGACTAGGATAATAAATTAATAAATCAAAATTAAAATTAATAAATCGTAGTGAAATCTGATACATAGTGGAATTGTAAATGTGCAAGTCAGTTTTTAATAAAAACTAGTTGGGTCTGAAAGCCTCTCCTATCCTCCTATGATAAGCTATTAACTTAGATTCTAAACCATATCCCTGTCTTTATTTTCTTGGGGAACATTTTGGTAATTTCAATGAATAGAACTTTAGGTGATATTGGACCTGGGAATGCTGAACTGGAATATAAGCTTTAATTATCAAAACCAAGTCTGCATACTGAAGGCAGTATGCCCCATTGTCTTATTGTTAACCAGAAAAACATATATGTTTTATGGTCCCCAACTTAATGGTCCATAAAAAGCTGACATAATCAACAACTAGTTATAATCCATCGCTTAAGGAAATATTCCCAAATGTATAATTTATCCGAACTAAAATGTTGTGAAGTGGCTAAAGTTTGCTTAATGAATTTAAATAATAACACAACATTTGAACAATTTTCTTTAATTTTTTTTGTTAAAAAATATTTAGAGGTCTACAAGTAATAGAGAATATCCTGATACCCCTCAAAAAAAAAGATGGTTTCCGATATCAAAAACCTAAAATTCATTAGTTAAAGGATAAGTTTCCCAAGGTACTCACGTGGCGTTTTTATTTTTTAAATTTTTTTCCCGATATAGTTTGTTTTAATTTAATTTTTAATCAAATTTAATCAAAATTAAAAGGCAAATCCCCGATTTCTGACTAAAAATTTCAGTTATTTTGCTAAATAAAAAATATAATAAAATGTAAAATTAAAATTAGCTTGACATGAGTACCTGTAGAATTAGTTAAAGAAGTTATGAGCCTTAAAAATTAAAAATAAAAAAATATGAAAAAAAAAATTAAATACCTAAGCCCCCCTCCCCCTTAAAACCGGCTTTGCAAACAACGTAAATAAGTACGTACCTCTGTTGTTTTGTTTAATTCTACACTTAATCCATGTTTTCATTGCTTCATTTTTAAGAAACACTGCTTTTAAATTTAGTTTATAGCTTAAACAAAGCTTAATTACTTAAAATCACTAAAACTTTTAAATTTGCAAGTAACAAGTAAAATTTGTTTATGCGAACAGCTGATTGCTGAGATCATATTCAGTGTGTAAGCACCCTCATAAGGCAACAATCCCAGCTAAAATCTAGTATTTCTCAGCAGTGTGACCTGTTTTTGTTTATAAAGAGCGCCAAATTCAAAATTCACAAAACAATTTGTATATATTTTTAAAATGTTTTTATTTCTTGTCTGTGCATTGTCTTAGTTCTTGCGTATGTACTGAGAGCGATCCGTCTGAATCAGCGTGTGGCCACCAGCGTTCAACACTTGGGTTGCTGAAAGAGGGAAAAGAGATTTAAAACTGATAAGTAAAAATCAAATATTTACTAAGATTTGAGCTACTCACAAGCCTCTGCTGTCGTCAGAGCCGCAATCAGAGCAAAGAAAAAGCCGCAGATCTTCAGACAGTTCATGTTTGCAGTGTAAAATCAGATTCTACTTTGATTGGCGTTCGCCGAGATCGAAGCTTATATAGCACCGTCCCCGCCTCTGGCTTCGGTGCACTCAGCTGGAAATCAGGAATTTCCAATACGAGTCGAAATACCCCAGGGTCACGATCGGCTCGGGATTGGGTCTGAGCTGATAATTCACTTCTAGCTGATACGGGGAGTGTTTAATTGCAAATAAGTTGTGCACGTGAATGAATATTTCCCAGGGGTTAATCGGTTGCTATATGACTTCAATGTCTTTAGGAGTGGATTTAAAAAAACTTTACTTTGCTATGCGTAAAGCTTATTAAAAGCCCTTAATGGGTGTGAATAACATGAACATTTATATAATATTTTTAACTTTTTTATAATAACAACTGTTATTTAAAAGTTTAAAATAATCTACCAACAAGCATCATATGAAATTTGTATACATTTTTAACATTTTCATTTGTTCTAAAATAGCTGTAAATTTTAAATTAAAAAAAAAAAAAAGAAAAGAAAGCTAACTACCCTTGCAGGTAACAATTAAAATATATCATAACTAAGCCAAAAATGCATTAATTTCGATTCGGAAAGCAGTTTTGTGTTAGTTTTTATTAATTTAAAAAAACTGCATACCAAATTTAAAATTTTAAGAAATCAAAATTTTTGGCCATTTTTGCAAATTTTAATGATGTAACCCCTTATGAAATTTCGCAAAAATGGCCAAAAAATCGATTTCTTCCGGACATGTCTAGATAGATTCCCCTGTTGATGCTGATCAAGAATATATATGGTTTATGGGGTCGGAAATGATTCCTTGACTTATAAAAATATTATTTTGTATTATAAAATCGGATTTTTTATATTTAAAAACTTCTTGTTTTTTTTAAATTAAAAATATCATAGCTCGGCCAAAAGAGCATTAATTTTAAATCGGAAAACTGTTCTGTGCAAGATTTTCTACAGTTAATAAATCTGCATACTTCATTTAAAAATTTTGAAAATTAAATTTTTTATCAAAATCAAAAATTTTAATGATGTAACCCCTTATAAAATTTTGCAAAAATTGCCAAAAAATCGATTTCTTCCTGACATATCTAGAAAGATTCCCCTGTTGATGCTGATCAAGAATATATATGGTTTATAGGGTCAAAAGTGACTCCTTCACAGCGTTGTGAGCCTCTGACAAAAATTATAATAAATAATATAACAAGAATTAATGTTTGTAAAATAAATTTAAAAAATAAATGCTAAAAAAATCACATTTTGTTATAAAAAGTTCTTTAAAAATTTCCAAAATTTTACTTTAAATTTTTTATTTTATATACTTAAATATAATAAAGTATTTTTCCATCTACAAAGAAGAGTCATAGCTTAAGGCCCTGAGACACAATCTTTGTTCCAAATACTTTGTTTACAAACACGCAAAGAATTAATTAAGAATTCATACGGCGGCTGCTGTTGGTCTAAGCACCTGTCTCAGCGCAACAACAACAACAACAACACTTCCCAACGGCCTTTTCCAGAGAAACTCCAGGTGTGGACAGGTGACTGCTGCCACACCAAACTGGATTGCATACTGCGCTGCTTGCACCCAGTTCCAGTTATTCTAATGGTCATGCGCTACGTGTGCGCATATATTCGAATGCCGATAACCAGCACTAATTGAATTGCGTAGAATCCCAGACAGGTTCTCGCTTCCCTCGAATCGCATAAAATCGCATCAACAACAAGCGAATCTCTGATTGACGAGTGAAGAGATTACGCCGATCTTTGAACCTGTGCAATCCCCCGGCGTGGAATTGCCCAGACCACAGCCACTCGAATGCCCAGCTATAAAAGAGCTCGCGTTTGTCAGTAAAGGCATCAGTATCTCAGTCATACTTTCAAGTCAACCAGCAACCAAAAAACCACCAAACCAAACCACAAACATGAAGATCTTCCAAGCTGCCGCTGTTCTCCTGGCCATGTTCGCTTCCCTGGCCTATGCTGCTCCCGAACGTAAGTCTTAAATTACTAAAATTACTTAAATTATAATTAATTAATAAAAAATATTTATTATTTGTTTACTTTTACAGCTGGAACCGTGCTGATCCAGACCGACAACACCCAGTACATTCGCACCGGTTAGAGCTTTACAGCTGAACAATTTCCTATGTCTTCCATTTAAATTTCAAATAAAAATAATTAAATGTACAAAATGTATAAAATGTGTTTTAAATTCTCAAATGGGTGCACTTAAATTAATATAAATTAAATGAGAATTTATTAGAAAGAAGGTTAATTTATAAAAATTAATAAATATAATTTGTAAATGGAAAATTTACTCCAATCACTCTTTCAAATATGCAAAAATCCCAGACAAACCGCGTATAATATAAACAAATAGAGTATTATATATTATAAACTATAAAGTTTATTTCTTATTTAGCAAATAGAAGCAAGATTGATTAATTTTTGAGTTGAATGATCTTAGCAAAAGCAAGAATATAAAAAAGTTTCAGAGTAAAAAGTGCAAACGTGCAAAGCCTACATATATTATTTTCCATCAAAACCACATTGGAATAATTATAGCATTGGTAATAAATAAGAGTAATTTTTCATATAGACCTTAATAGTATTTATCCTCTTATTACAGCTCAGTCACAGCTTACTCAACTTTGACTTGAGCTGCCAAGAAATCACCTCCCAAGATAAACAAATAGCAAGAAATACTTGGAATCACTTTAGCTAATATCTTTGCCAGCTTACAGAAGGCAAAATCGCCAGGGAAACTGTATTTAATTAAAAATCCAGCCCAATTTAGCACAAATTCACACGGACAATTGTCTGTCACCCGAGCTCGGAACCTGGGGACTGATTTGTTTACAGCCCAGGCCTGATTGATGGCCAATCTCTGCGAAATTCGCACTCATCGCCCCAGTCTAGACATGTGTCTAGTATACGTACAACTTGTTATTCGCATCTAAATGGAAATTGTTTGAAGCTTGTTTTAATTGTTTGACTTGCAAACTGCTGCCGGCCAAGCGGGTGCGATGGGTGTGATGGGTGAGTTGTTCTGGGTTTTGGGGTTCTGCGATTTGGACTGGAACTGTGGCCACTCGGAAACAACAACCATAGACGCGTCCATATTTATATATGCATGCAAACGAAACCGAGCGAAACTTTAAACAATTTGCCAAGCGAAAACTATTTGGTCGTCCTGTTTGGGGCCTCAGCTTTAGTTACAGATCCTGCTACAGCTCCTTTGTTTTACTTTCAGCCACGCCTCCCCGCCTCCCCGCCCTGGCTCCGCCTGTATATGGTTCGTTACATCAACAATTATTTTAAACTTTCGCCGCAAATATTTCCTTCGCTGGTTTTACGCCTGAAATAAATCGTAATAGGAGTTACCAGTTCGCCGCTCAGAATGTCTGCCGGCGACAAGGTGGGGCTGGAGGATACCCCAGCCTCGCCCTCGAATATTTCCTTGGCCACCCGGACTCTCGGCTAATCCTTTTGATATCCCTGCGAAGGCATTCCCGGGGCAAGGGAACAATTTGCGCCGCGTTTGAAGTGGCCAACTATGCTGCTTTCCCCCCATCCAGTCGGTTCGCTCTGTGGTGGATGTGGGTGCTGGCCAAGTCAATAACCGAATGCCGAGCTTTCTGCAGCGCCCACGTCAGCGGTATTACCGAACTGGAATTCTACGATTTGCTCCTGGCCAACGCTGGTTCAGGTTCCTCCATTCAAAGCGATTTTGAGCGGAACTTTTAAGCCAATCAGTATTCGATATCCCCTTTTGTGCTGCGGGCGTTTATTGAAAATTAATTTCGACAATTTTCACAACTGTTTTAGCCTTTGCAGCTCGCAGGCATTTCCCCGACCGACTCTCTCCACCAGCCGGAGCGAAATGAACAAATTCCCCGGGTGAGCCTCCTCCTGCACTTTGACTTTTTGCCTGGCTGCACCTGCAGACAGAGTCGGTCAAATAGGCAAATATGTAGCTGGCCGGCATTTGAACTCAAAGGCTGATCGACTGCCGATGGCGTGCGAATCACGAATCGAAATGCTCAACTGCTCCTCGAGGATGGGGTCCTCCTCGGGCCCCAGCTCACCGCAATCCCATGCACGTCGCACAGGTGAATGTTAAAGTTTCAGATGTGAAACGCAGTGACTGGAACTGCAGCAATGGCAACTTTATGTCAGACACGTCGTCGGCAGTGGCTATGAAGGACATTTTCAATAACTGTAACGAATTGTGCATTATAGCTATAGATTTGGAATACTTTTGGTTTTTTTTTAGAACTAAAAAAATGGTCCTGCGAAGGATTTGAGAACAGTATAGGAGGGGCATCTTTCTTTTTATGAAATAAGAAATGCATTTATTTTCTACATTGTAATGCATTTAGAAGGACCTCCTCCTTAGGACACTTCTTAGTAATGAAACTGTACAGAGCGTCTGCCCAAAGATTTCTCCTCCCTTGCGTTGCTCGTGATCCTGCTTCCCTCCTTTCCACACAGAGTTGCAAACTCAGCCACCTGCTGGTAACAAAGTCTGCCAATCTGAGCGTCAATCAGCCAGGTGACAGGCAGCTCCTGCTCCCCGTTGTCATAGGTGCCCTGGTAGCTGTAGTAGCCCCTTTCGAAGCTGCGGAGCAGAGTACCCAGCTCAAAGGGCGGCAGCTCAATTGAGGATCGTTGCCATCGAATACACCTCAAGTTCTCAGTGATTTGCTTGAAGGGGTCATTTTTAAAGCGAGCCCGCGAGAATAGGTAGCTCAGCGCCAGGTATTCCTTTCGTTGAGGACACCTGTGAAGGACCTGCATCTCCAGGGAAAACTGTTGTCCATCAATCGAGTGTTCGGTTTTGGTGACGCCCCACTTAAAGATGGCCTCCACAAAATGGTAGCTGCCGCCTAGCTCGCCGCCGCTTAGGTAGGGCACCGATTTCGGTGGGTAGAAACTTCGCAGGATAACCGTGCTGCCATTGTTTTCCAGGAGCATAGCCAGGGGCGTTTCATCGTAGTGGGTCCAGACCAAAGGAAGCCTCAGCTGCCGCCGGCAGGCCTTACTGCTCGTAATGTCAATTGGCGATGGATAGCGGACCAGCCTCGCATTGATCCTTCTGTTGGTCATCCTCCTATCCACTTCATAGAAGAATGCCCGGCCTGATTGCACATTCAGGATGACGACCAAGGCCATCGTACAGCTGACCAAAAAAGTTCCGAAGCGAGATTCCTCGGCCAGCTCCATTACCCGTTCGAAATAGTTCATGAGCGTGTGCCAGCATATCTTAAATATTGAGAGTAACATGGCTATGGGACAGGATAATATAGGTTAATTAGAATCTCTACAGTATAATAGAAAGGGGATTTAAAGCCCTCCTATAAGAACAGAAATAATGAGGTAATAAAGTCCTGTCTTAAAACCTGCTTAAGAAACCCTGTACCCCAACTAAGCTGGCGCTCATACTCTCTGGTGCACAGCACACTTGAAGGACTCCTGGCCAGCAAAGGTTAAGTGATCAGGATTCATTGCATTGGGCATTGTGTTTGGCCGGCGCTTAGTTACACCATTCAATTAGCCAGCTCGCTGAGCCCCCCAACTAATTACCCAACAACGAGCTGGAATCGGAGCCAGCCCGTCACTTTCGAGAGATGAATATGGGGCCTGAGCATAATCTAATCAAAACCTCAAGTAGGCAAGGCGAGTCAGGTGCAGTTTCAGATATTGAATTGCCTCCTATAGTCTCGAGTGGCTTGCAAATGACGGCCGATGGCCACTCAAATAACCAAAGACTTGGCCGAACTCTGGGCCAAATTATTAATCTCTAACCGGGCCTCGAGAACGAGAACGTAGGCTCGGTCAGTTACGTTTCTAGGCACATTTACGACTATTTGCGTCCATGGGCACACCAAGTTTTGTTGCTCCAAAGTGAGCCATTTAGGGCACATGAAATTGTGACCCCCACAGGCCATGAATGTGGGATCCTTTGTTTGCCCCGTTGGATGCACTGGAAGCGCTGGCCCATAAAGCAGATAGGCCCAGTGTACAGGACAGGACAGGGGACAACAACGATGTCGGTTTATGGGGCTTTGTGCCAGGATACACACGCACATCGGGCTCGTTCGCCGGCGTTACGGCAGCTCGAATAAATACCTAGCGCACACAGGACTGCTGGGCTGTGGTCCTGCATCCTGACTGCCAAAGTTCCCGGCGCGTGCTTCATAAAATAGTCATAATGCATGTTTTTATGAAATATGAAGTGGCCAAAAAGTTGCTACCCAAGCAGAGAAGCCAGAACCCAACTCACTGCTGGCTTCTGGCCTAGCCTATTTGGTGCATAAGCCAAAACCGAAATGTAAATATTTTGCCATGTAATTATTTGTATACAGGACTCGAATCCATCTCTCTCCTGTGGGTGTGGGTGTAGGTGTGTGTGTGCTTATGCCGGGTCTTAAATGTATTAGTGAGGCCATTAAAAGTTGCCAAGTCGCCCGGGAGAGTAAAACCAAAGAAGTGAAATTGCATTGGGATTTTGGTCTTGGCATCCATGAAATAATCATCTATTGCCAGCGGCAGTCATATATGCTGGCAGGATTTTAGGGATTCGTATGCTTTAAAATACCTGGCAGGGTTTGCATTAATTAAAAGCAAAGTTGGTGTAAATTATCAAAAAATGTTTTGATTTTTTTTGAAGAACTGCAGTTATATGAGACCTCAGAGAACGTTTTTTTCAATTTCCGTTGAAATGGATAATGGATTTACAAAGCATTATGGGCAACTACAGTAGCATGTGTTGTAATTAAAGATTCTAAAGCATTTGGCAAAAAAATGGCTTGAAGTTATCCCCCAAGTTCTTTTTATCATTACAAACTCTATATTCCTGGATAAAATGTAGCTTTTTTGTTTGTTGTGGTTACCTGGTAAAGTTCTTTACAAAAATGACTGCTCTGAGGGGGAACAACCGACGCGACGGTTTGCGATTGACAGGCTTATGGGTTCACGCTCTCAGCTAAAATGCTTTTACGGCGAGCTCTAGGCTATGGGCCACTGTCAATGCTGCACGGTAATTAAATTGAGACCCTGGCAGGCACACACAAAAATGAATGAGCAGACTGCTGGGGGAAGGGAATGGAAGGTCGGAAATTATTGCCCGACGGTGGTGCAGGTTCCATTTATGACTTCCCAAAGCCTGTCACAAGCACTCGAGTGTTGGGCGCTGCTGCTCGGCTTGGTCGGGCGATAACTTTTGACATGGCAATACACAAATATCGCTGCAACGAGGTGAGTTGACATAAGTAGGAACATAATAACAAATTTATTGTGCCACTTATTTGCACTCTCACGGGGAAATACCCGTATATTGGGGCAACTTTTATCGCTGCCGAAACGAAACTTTGCCGGTGGAAAGTGGAGCCTGATTTGCGAGTGCCGGAACTTGGGAGCTGAACTTACTTTGCTTTTCTCTTCGCTATAGCGTCGCTTGGGTGGAATTAGCAAATCAATGTGATATCAGGAAAGCCTGGGGGTATTGTCGCCAAGGATTTCGACTTTTAAGTGCATAACAATTCGAACGAGAAATGATCAAAGTTTCAACTTGATAGCATTCTCCAGGCTAACGTGTTTCGCACTACGTAAAACAAATCGAGCTCCAAGGACATTTCTAACTACACTTGAAATAAATCTATAAATATATATAAAAGTGGAAGCTTTTAAATGCGATTTTAAGTACCTTTTCGTTCAAAGACCCATCTTAAGAATCAAATTTTCTAATTAACATTTATAAGCATCTTCTTTCTCCTTAGTGCACCTTGTCGTCCGTTTGCCCTCGATCCCTGACTGCCATTTCATTTCGTTTCTAATGAAATTGGCCTTGCTCGGGGCCTGACTGTCCGCCGAATGATATCCAATTTCTGTCTGCAAAGAGTTATTAATCCCGACTCCCGGCTGCCAGTCCCCTTTCCACTGCCAGTCCCACTCAATGAAATTGCTTGTTTACTTGGTATTATGCAAATTTCAGCGAAATCACAGAAGTGATGAGGCCAATGACAAATACTGCTCGCCATCCTGGCAATATATTCAGTTGCACTCTCCGTCGCCGGACCCGTAGCTAAGATCCCCTTAAGTGCTTGCTCTGGCTGGAAATTGAAAAGAAATTATTATAACTTGTATTTGCATTCCGCTGGCCGGACTTTACGGCAGAGTTGGGAAGGGGTGAGCGGGTTCTAGCTAGGCACGAGGTTGGAGCGCCTCGGGCTGCCTGAAAGTTTTCGGGTTTTTCGGGCCACAAAAGTCACGGCATCGGACTGGAAAGGGAAATGTGTGCAGTGTACGTGCAGTTTAGGGCGGAATTTATTCCTCGCCCGCCCCGTTGATAACTGCGATGGATCTGCCTCGTCCTTGTTATTAAAAAACTTTCGCCGAGTGCGTCGCATGTTTGGTTCTACTCGGTTATTTTCCATCTTATTTTCCTAGCTCCCCGGCGAAAGTTAAAGTTCAAAATTAAAAGGATTAGCAAGGGAAGGGAAAAAGGCGGGGGCGGGTGGGTTAAAAACAACTTTGTAGTCTATTTAATGCTAAGGTTATTTTTTCAGCACGCAAATTTTGGGCTTCTAGCTAAGTTTTTTGATTGCAAACTTTCGATGTGACTGCAGCGCGAGTTTTCTTGGCAAATGAAGAGGGCGGACCAACTGCTTGCAAGCAGTGGTACTTCCGGTTAGGAAGGGAAGTTGAGTTTGCCAATACTTATGAAATATCGATAACATTATTTATTCAAGGATGTCAAAAGTAAAATATTATTACAGTGATATTATCAATATTAATCAAGGATACCTTTGGGAAAAGATAAACAAACATAAGAACATAATACAGGAGTCAATACAAATATAACAAAAATGTTGTAAAGAAATGAAATCTTCTATAATCTCTTAAAAATATATATTTTCATTCAGTTATCCTGCTGTATTGATACACCATTTCAGACCTATCTTCTTCCGGCTGACTCAAACAGTGTGTCGCACCTTAAGTGGATCTCGAATGATGATTGCTCCTGCAATCTTGCCTCCTTCCAAATGAAATCTAATTCAATTTCTAATAATACCCCAAGGAGAGCGGGACATAACTTTGCCAGGTCTTGCTTTGTGTTGCTAAAAACTTTTGCACACAGCGGCGTTACTGCTCTCCATATGTGTGTGTTGGTGTGTTTGTGTTTTTGTTCGAGTTTTGCTCGAAATTGAAAAGCAAAACTTGGCCTGCAGTTGAGCCAATAGAAACTGCATTTGTATACAATGCATTCGAGCTGTCCAAAGTTCAGGGTCCCCCTGTATGTCGCATCAAGCTGTCAACACTTTGCCTTTGACTCGGACCGGACTCCGGGATCGGGCGCTTCCTTTGCCCCTACACAGCACCGCACCACCCGACCCTTTGTTGTTGTTTATCGAAGCGCAAAAGTTTGCTTTGGAAGCTGCAAAGTTTCAAGAACTTTTTCCCCCCCTGAGCCACAGGAGCGGTAGCAGCAAAAACTATTAAAAGTGTATCGACTCATTTGAGCCATGGCTATTTTTTTTTAAAGCCAAGCTTATCGAATTACACGTCAGACACAGCTAGAGGGCCAACTGAGTGATAACCGTGTTTATGCCACTTTAGTATTCCATTTGTCTATACTTTGCTCTCTTTGCCACTGGTCACACGATGAAAAAATGGGACCATTAGTGGGTTTTTTTTGGAGCAGTAAAGCTGAAAAAAATTATATTACTGACAAAGTTTGATCCCTCTAATGCCTTGGCATAAGAAATCAATAAAACAATAATTAATTAAACAAATGACATTCAACAAATAATATGCTTGAAAAACAACCAGAACAAATAATATTTGAATTATTAATCATAAAGGTTAATTGACAACAATTACCCAACCAATTTACCATAATTGTTATTGGGTTTTTTTTATATAGTTAAACCCTGATCAGAGCTTAACCTGAATATTTTTATAGTCTGCAAATCAATGACAAAGTGAATAGGTGCATAAAGCATTTTGCATGCCAACTAACTAACTGACCCATCCGTCCGAGAGGAGGCAGTTATGCCAGGACACGACTCCTGCAGTTTGCAGGATGACTCCAGACAACTGCCGGCTGGCCTGAAGAGTGGCACAGAGCTGGCTAACAGGAGAGCTGGTCATGTCAATGGACGCAAAGTGTCCCTGCTACGTGCCTGACAATAAGTATTGGCATTGGCCTTTCCGCCACCATCGCCCTTGGTCGATTCCCATAGCTTTTTTTTCCATTTTTTCGCTCGCCACGTTTATTACTCTTGCAAAAATCATGCAAATGTCCTGGCCAAAGGATGCCAGGCACGGCTTATGGCTGATTTCGAGCACAGCAAAGTGTCCTCTAATGGTAATGGGTCCTAAATGCGCCTTTCAACCTTGCCAGCTGCTGGATCCTTGGATCTCAGCTCTAGGGGGATGCAGTTCGGGAAGTGCCAAAGCGAAAATAATGTGTCAAAATATAAAAAGGGGTTCGGAAAAGACACTCTCGATTTGAGTGCCACCAGTGGCCAAAGAGGGATAGCTGAAAAATAACGATAAAGTGTCTGAAACAGATTAAAAGTTAATCGTTGTGACGGTTTAAGTTAGCTAGGTTTATATATTTACTGTATTTGTTAATACTTAAATTTAATTTAACCTGTGTTTAAAGATAGATAGACTTTTGGTAGGTCATTTTGCACTGCTTACATACATGGTTTTGGGTCCCTGCTTGTACCCATTTTCTTATTGGAGTTAAGTACAGGGTTTTTGAACACTGCTTGCACTTTCCACTTCGATTAATCAACTTAAAGTCTAAAAAACCGCTATTAATATTCTTTGGCAATATTAAAACCCTTCATGCTCTATTTGTGGCCGAATCCTAGTTGCCACCAGAGTCCGATTAAAAATCTTTGTGCAACAAACTCATTGAAATTTCACTTTTGCAAAGTCTCCTCTCCTTGAAGCTTCGCCAATCAATTCGCTATCATGGCCTTTCTTTCTCATTCCCGCTGCCACTTTCATATTACCATTTCCAATCCCAACACAATTTCATTTACATTTTATTCAGCCATTCTCTCATTTTTTCTCGTACAGCGCGCGGACTCTGCGCGATTTTCAATGAGGGAAAACAAATAATTTTCCTTCTTTCATTTGCAGCATTTGCTCTGGAGCTGATGCTTTGCCATTCGGCACTTGGCACTTGCCCTTGAAGCGCTGGCGGGGCACAGTGGGAGGAGCGGGGTAGAGGTACTTAATATAATTATTATTATCAATAGTATCAATATTTGCAATGATTTTTTGTTGACGTGCTTTCAAATCAATTAAACTTGGCTACTTTTAGAGGTATTTTAAAATATAAAATATTTTACTTTATCCAATTCAATTTTCCTTAGAAATTTGGGTGACGGTTCTTGTTTTGGTGTGAACTTTAAAGGGTATTTGGATTTCTTTAATTCCCAAAAGTATGCTTTTATTTATATTAATTGTAAATAATTAAAAATAATCTTTAAAGTTTAAGTTTCATATAAAAGCCATCACCTGCTGCTTTCTCCTCTTCTCTATTAATGCCCTCGGGCTTTGATTCGAATCCCACTGTGCTTTGGTGGTGACATTCCTAGCCGCTGCAGTGAATCCACCGTGGAGTTGTTCGCCACGACTAGGAGCTGTCTCTGCCGGTGGCATTAATATGCAAAGTATGATATGCTGTTGAGCTGCGATTTGTTGCACTCGATTGGGCGAGCTTAAATTTACATGCAGCAAATATTGAAACGCAAGCCACGCGCCGCACAGCGGGGCAATGGGAAGGGAAATGGAAAGTGAGGGACAAATATTTGCAGTTCATTAATGTTGTGCTAGCGAGTGTCATCGAAATTGGATTTGTCAAATCTAATCGCATTATTGTTTGTGCATTGTGAGCTCAACTAGTGGAGCACATCAGCCAAGGCATCTGCGGAAGCTCTAGTTTATGCTTGGATATCCAGCATAAATGCGATTTTTATGCACTTGACAAAAGGGAAATAGGAAGGATTTTAGTTAAATAGAATGTATGATGTTTTCATAATTTTTTAAGATTTTTTTTTTATATCAAGGTAATTGGTTATGGTTATAGAAACTTTTGTTGAAAGTAAACTTTGTCTAAAAATATTATTATTAAAAAATATAAACCCTTACAAATGTTCCAAGCACAAAACAATGTATAATATTAAATTAAAATATTTCGCATACAACAATTAAAACATTACAGTAATTGTAGTAATTCTAAGAATGTCGTATTTTATACTTTTTCACCTATTAGTTTGCTATGCAAAATATTTGTTAAGCTCTGAAAAAGCAAACACACAAAAGGATACACAACTGTGAAATATTTTTAACAAATTCCAATAAATAAATACATATGTATGTATGCTTAGTGCCTTGAGGGCCTGGCCAGGTGAGTGCTGGCAGACGAATGTATGGTATATTTTTACAAAAATTGCCGTGAACTAGGTTTTCGAGTGTGGAGCACTCGCATTGCATTTCAATTAGAGGCGCACGTGTGCCACCACCACCCCTTCTGGCCCGCATTTGAC